AACTAAAGCAACTGCCCCCCTGGATGTTTAGGTTTGTCGAAAGTCTGTAATAACGTTGAGTGAAACACCAGCAGGCACATGCACCAGACGTGTTGCTGCCTGTCTTTTAACCTTCAAACAGACGCTCCCAGACGACAACAAAAATCAATGCCTGAAGTCCATAGAAAGCTATGTTCAGACGATGTAGATCAATACAGCAGAACCATAAAAATCTAAGCCCACAGAATGTTTGAATTGTGTTTTTAAGGGTTGTTCCATACCACTTAGAAAAAATGGTGACAGTCGACCTTTCCTTCAGATTCAGATAATGATTCGTCAGGAATCTTACCAATAATTGCAAAGTATGTTCGTGGTTGGAATGAATGCATTAATTTGGGTTCCTGTCTTTTATCACTCCATCACAGACCCTTTCAAGCCCTGAGCTGCTCCGCTTTAGGCCACATGTTCGTTGCCATGGCAATAAAGCCACCCATGTGTGTGCGTGCGTGCATGCATGTGTGTGTGTAACCGTCTTTTAATAATGCATTAGGATGTTCTTGTGCCTGTGTGTCTGTCTGGGGTTGTTCAGACAAAGGGTGGAGAAAACCATGTAGTGCAAAATACACACCGAGGAAAAAGAATACGATGGAAGTGTTGGCTGCCAATGTGTAGTAAAAATATTTTGACTGGCAAATACGTTCAAACATAATTCCGAGTATGTTTGAACGTGTGTGTGTGTGTGTATATATATATATATATATATATATACACGTTCGAATGTGTTCGCAAGTCCGTTCGAGAGTACACAAAAATACATTTGAACGTACTCGCAAATGCGTTTCTTGAACAAAGGTGACAAAATTAACACAAGCACATATTCACACACGACCTGCCTCATGCCACAACTGATGCCGAGTCACTCGACACAGAGTGGCTCATAGTTTAGCTAGCAAAAAGCCAGTCAACTCTACATTGTGGCTGGGCAGCAAAATTTAATCGGAGTTTTAACTTTCTGAACTGTCATCCAAGTGAGTATTCATATTTCTGTCGAATATGGGTGTTTCACTTGGGTTTTGACACGTGGGAATGGACGATGAGAACTGCCGCCATTTCAGCACGTTTCACATCAAATGAACGTCGCCTTGTGGTTTTCACGTTTCCCCCTTTTCATACTTGAAAGGAACAAAAAGGGCTACTAGAGTGTGGGTTTTGATTTAGAAGGGATTCCCACACAAAGTTGAAATCATTCTTCCATTCAGACCTATATTTGTTACTATGCCAGGCTTTGTGAGATATTTTTGTATTTGTTAGTATCGTGTGATGGATGACACTGTAAATCTTGAAACTTCCCTTACTATTTACTTTTACGTACTGGTACACAATCCAGTATTCACATTCAAACTTTCTTTTTTACTTTTTGGGAAAATAAAAAGCATACACATGATATCATTTTGCCGCCATTTAAAAAAAAAACAACCATTTTCATTTTTTTTCTTGTGATATTTTAAAAACATGTTTTATTTACAATTCACACACACACACACACACACACACACACACAGAAAAATGTTCAACAGGAATGGAGGAATTTCCCATGCCCGAGTAGTTTACACCAATAATGTTTCAGAAGAAAAAATTCCACCTTTTGCTGAACTTAAACTCATCCACCCATCCATTATCTGAATCTTGCAGTGTCTCACAGCCCTCCTTATTTATGAATAAGTATTGGTAATACTGGCCTTGTTTTACTTTGTATCAGATTCTGCAGTATTACAAACCTCAAGCATCCACCTTTGTTATGATAGTAGGTATTGGCGATACTGGCCCTGTATTGACCTGGTATGGGAACGATGCCTTGGAATATTGCATGCCAGCTTCCCCCTTGATTTTACAAAAGCATCAGTATCGGCATGATTGACCATGTATTGAATTGGTATCGGCTATGTTGCAATTATTGCAGTATTGCACACCGGTTTCCTTATTAGCTGTATCTATTCTGTATTTCCAAAACTTGGAGATACCAAACAAGGATTGCACACAAAACACATGGGCATTGGGGATACTGGCCCTGTATTCGGTTGATATCAGGTTGATTCCTCGTTTTACATTATCGCACATCACTGTCATCAATGTTATGATTAAAAAGTATCACTGTTTTTCTCTCTCCTTGTTATCGGGCACATCACCAGTTAGTTCTTAAAATATCGCACATCACGACCATGTGTCTTTCTTTTATTTTGTTCCACACTATCACGTACACACACACACACACACACACACACACACACACACACACACACACTAGCATGTTTCTCAGTCAACAGTGCAATTAACTTGTAATGTGTCTTACATTGTGTGTTTGTGTCTTTGCACGGTAACAAGTGCACGCAACCACACACTTACGCATATTTTGTCCTCAAACAGCACATGTGGTTTTCAAGTGCTCACATTTTCTTCCTTTAGTAGTCCCAGGTAGAAAACGACCAAATACAACATCATGCAAGTACCTTGTAGATGGTTTTTTTGTTTTTTTTTAAACCTAAAGATTTTCACTTCCTGGCTGTCCATCACCATAGCAACAGAATGATTCTACCCTTCAGCTGTTTTTCTGAGACAGACACAGCCATTAATGTACACCAGTGGAACGGTGTCATCATGAACTAACTAGTCATTGACACAGGTCTGTATTTAGTCTAAATAGTAGAAGGATACGAATCAATACATCAAAACCCAACAATGAAGGGAAACCTCAAGATTGCTCATATGATTCATATCTGCAAACGCTTGGCCTTTCAATTTCGGTTCATTTCCATCAAATATGATGTTTAGGATTTACCGTCTGCTGTGTTTTAGTTGCTTTCGGTTTCATGTTCACTATTTATATGTACTTTTTTTTTCTGCTATTGCTCAGCAGAGTTCAAAGGAAAGAAGCGTAAATGCCCCGTCGGCCACTAAAGAAATGAATATGAGCTCACTAGGCTGTTTGAATGACAAACTAGGGACCAGACAGGGGAGTTGACAGCAAAGGAAGATTTGGTATTGATCCAATACCAAGTAAAATCCACTGATTCTGATACTTTGGCATAATTAACGTGGATGCAATTGGTGCGCCATACTGTAAGATTTGGTATACATCTACAGTAATTCCAAGTTAGAGTCATCATTAAGTTGGATGCCAGTGGTGTATGATACTGAATCTCCTAAATTCATAAAGGGAGGGGAACAGTCCAGACTGTCAGATGGGATCAGGCTCGAGCTCACCCCCGTCCCTAATGAGGACAAGCGTTACAAAAGATGGATGTTGAAATAAGCTCCAGGTGAGTTTCCAAAACCTGGAAGATCAAAAAGCCCGCTCTTGGGGTCAAAGTGAAACCCGAGGAGGTGTTTTTCGTCTGTGCTGTGATTTGACTGGAGTTCAGTGAGGCATTGAGGGATGAGGGTACGTATGAGTCGGAAATGGGTGTCGGTTTTCGACTCGGTCACATCTCAGTGCAAAGAATGTGTACCTTGCCCTGCTGATGGCTCATCTATTAAAGTCTGCGCCTCAGTCACCTGGATGATGTGATTACTGGACCACAAAGCCACTCGGCTTGTGCTGACTCCTGCGTCGTTCCTTTACTTCCCTCTTTCTCACGCTTTCATTTGCGCTTTCACAGCTGAAAGGGCAGTTGTTATTCCGCCTGTGTACCCGCTGTTATCAGCCAGACGGCGGTTGGGCCAGGCTTCGTTGGCTGAGCCCACGCAGCCCAGATCCTGCTGCAGACGAGCCCACACCCACAAAAGCACACACCAGGTGTTCCCTCTTTCTTTTGTTTTTAGTGGAGCAACCTGATATTAAATAACATGTCCCCAGATTATGGCACCTTAATCACATTCAGACATTACCGTGTTGGAATTAAAAGAGCAAACAAGAAACAAAATGGTAATTCATTCCCGTGGTGTCAATTGGGAGTTTGTCACTCAGAGCTGCCATAAAGTTAGCTATAATGTTTGACAGCCGCCTTTTATTGTCTCAGTTCAGACTCATTCTGAAAGCATTAGGAGAAGATGGAAAACTTGTTTTTTGTTCTGACAATGAAAATCCCTATTACGCTCTAAGAAATATAATGTAATCTATTATTTCATGATGTTGTCTGGTCTTCAGGAATTTCAGAAACAGCACAAAAAAAACCTCAAGGAGGTACGTTTTTGAGCAAACAACTGGGGAAAGTTTCCATAAAAAAGACATGAATTTGTGAGTAGCAAACCATGAACAGGTGGGGCTTCGCTGTGCAGTTCATTCACTTTTATTCCAAAAGTATGCAAGGTTTGAACGTGAGTATGAATGGTTGCTTGTCTTTATGTGCACTGGTAACCAGTTCAGGGTGGATTTTGGGGGGCCCTTGTGAAGGCCCTCCTGACCCCAACGTGCAATAGGCATAAACAATGTGCAAGGGGCGTAAAGTTTAGCTGTGAAGTTTTAGGTCTTTAACAAAGGTTAAAAAAACACCACACAACAATACCACAAATAATGTCTCAATGTGAGTTTTTCATATCATTATTTTACACGATTACCAAAAGACATGTTTTCGCACTGATCCACCACCCTGACAAACAAACAAAATAAACTAAACAGAAAAACATAAGTCATCAAAAGGTCCTCTAAAGCCGTTCAACGTTCCTCAGATTCAGACTTTGACCGTTTTGACCTGCTTGTTTGCTCCCTGTCTGCTCTGCAGCCGCTCCTTTTACATCTTGACTCATTGACAGCCATTTAAGTCGCACACGGATGTACAACAAAATCACTCCTGAGTTTGCCCTTCAAAATAAACACATAATGCTTCAGTGACAATTATAATTCATGCAATCCGCTGTTTTGTATTTCAAGCCATTAAACTCGTGATAAATTTTAACAAACATTTATCATACACGAGACCACAATGCCGTCCGACGTTTTCCGCGTACGAAACTATTTATTTTGACAGCCTTAACCGGAATCTCTCTTGTATGTAAAAATTACCTGACGAAGAGCGGCTCCAGCTTGACACCTCGCGCCCGCTGACGAGACTAACACGGACCCGGGTAAAGGCTCCATGTGAGTGGCTACTACACGCATCCCGCTCGGTCTTTTCGTGACACTTTCCATTCCATAAAAGGTATTCGATATACAGTACAGTGTTTTTTTTTTAAATATACGCGAAAGAGAACAACAGGTGGACACTTGTCGAGTCTCCTTTTTTCCCAAATTTCTACCTTAAACCTGTTCTGGCTTGTTGGATGGACTGAATCATCATTGGAGCGGGGAGAGCGCCAGAATCCAGCCGGGTATATGTTCCTTCTTTTCAGGGTAATTTTGCTCCTCCCGGTGGATTTGTTTTTTCTCATTTTCGGATCTTTAAACCGCTTTTTCAGTGACTGTACGTGTGAAAACTCCTTGGAGTGTCCTGGGGGTTGACGACTGACTGTAGAACTGCCCTAGGTAAGACATTCGAAGACTTTTTCATAATCACTAGTTCTCGATTAGTAAATGAAAACAAGTGCGATATTTCATGACGTCACTTTACGGAAAATAAAATGAATATTCCGAAATAGTAAACAAATGCGTTATTGGAGTCATGTTTGTTTCGTTTGGTTTTCGAACCCCTTGGAATTACAGTTGTTGGTTTACCGTTTTAATCATTAAAGTGAAAGCCAGTTGTGAGTTTTTCGAACAGAGTGGGGGACCACAAAATTCATTAGTTGACAACCCACAGCGATGTTTTTTAATGCGTACATTAATAGTTTGAACTCAAAATAAACTCCAAACTATGTTCACGAAACACTTATGTCATTTCAAACTCATCTTACAACTTTATTCTTACAATAAATAGCTTACAGGTAATTTGATTTTGAAAGAATGCACAGGAAGTTCATGGACACAGACTTCGCAACGCATTAAAATACCACTTAATATTCTACTATTAGGCATTTTGTAATGCATCTGACTAAGTAATAAATAGACACAATTTTTTAAGATAAGATAAGAAAACCTTTATAAAATACATGTCTAACAAAAATAGATGGGCTATAACTTCCGCTGGCGTGGAGCAGCTAGCTCTGTAAATGTCCACAACTGTCAATAAAAATGTGGACCTTTCTCTGCATCATCTTGAGAAGTTTGCCAACCTGCTTTCTGCAAGGAGCATCACCTGCTTGTTGGACCTCGACTGGAAACTTAAGTCATACTGCAGTTCACTGTCAAACTGGCTAGTTATAAGCTATTATTCATTATGGCGAGTGTATAAAAATATAAGGATATGCACGAACCGGTGCGTTTTTCAGCAAATAGCTTTTAGTTAGGTTCCACAGGAGAATTTGCAAAGGTGGAATCATAAATTGGCAGGAATTCACTATATTTACAGTCCAGTACTGTATATCAGGGTGCGTTATACAGTATATTCACACTGAAACTTTGGGGAAACCCAGAATTACCACGAATAACAGTTTTGTGACAATAATCGCAATTTTTTTTCTTCAATTAATGTGGGTATACATGAAAAGGAAGGCACTTGAGTTTCATGTTAGTGAGCTCATGCTGTGGTTTCCGTGCAGTGAGGCGCAATCAAAGGTTTTCACTCGTTACTGGTGCAGTGAAGGTGTGAAATGTCCACCTCACACGAAAGTCTCTTCGGTGAGAATCTAAGGGCTTTCTTTGACATTTATGCAACACTTAAGTGGCTTCAACAAGGGGTGCTCAAACAACATAAGAATAATTTATGGGAATTTAGTTTTAGAAATTCTTCATACTAGAATATGAAAAAAAATCCTATTGCTTCAGCCTTACCTGTGCCGTAATCCTCACATCTTCACAGTTTGCCCACCACCCGCCCCCATTTACATTTACTCAAAAACGTAACCATTCACATTGTTTTGTGAGCTTTCTAAAACACCCAAAAATGGTAGAAAGATAACAGCAAAGATATCATTTTAACCAGGGGTGCACAAAAGTGGTGCACAGGTGCACTGAAAATCTGAAATGTTCATTCAATGATTCCAATTGGAGGTGCGAGAAGAGGTGCACTTTGTTCCTGAACACACTGTGAAATGCAAATCATGCAACGGATGTGTCACCCACCGCCCTTTGTGTTGACTCAATTTTGCATAATGAGGAATAGAAAGCCCCCGATGGCACTTTAAACTGCCTGACCCCGCACCTAAGGTGACAGCAAAGGGTGTGTGTCTCTGTGTAATGAAGGCTTCATAAAATGCTACCCTTTGTCCCTTCATGTGTTGTGCTATTGATTTATTCCCAGGCCCAACAGAAATGTCCACTGCTTTCCACCTGCTCCTCCAATTTCCTTAGCTCACATCTCCATAGTGATAGCAAGAATGCAATATACACACACAGCCACACGCGCGCGCACACACACGTAGCCTAGGGAGCATTCCAGCCATCCTCTTTTTTTTTCTGCAGGGACTTCACCTTGAGCCTCTGTTCGCGCTCATTCCCGCATTTCCTTACACGAAGCACTCTTTCAAGTGTTGCGAATCCCCACAGGCGCTCGGCGCAGGATATGAGAGCTGCCGTTTCCAGGCTGCAAAGCTAACTCGTCAAACCACACCGCGCCACTTGACTTCTCGGATTGTGCGCGAGTGCAGCAATGCCCTGCATCTTATCTTGCACTCGCACAACATTGATGCGACGTGCACATTTCTCACAGTGCAAGCGATAAAAAAAAAAGTTTCCAGACCAAGATGATTCTTTTGCCACATGACCCCATGTGAACGGGCAAGTGCACAGGCATTTTTGTAAGAAACAGTTTCTAAAAAGCTCACTAACTGTTACTGTAACAATGGAGCAATGAGACGCATTGTGTAGGCAGGTGGCATTTGCAAAAATCAATGGTTTGAGCGGCTACCTTATTGACACGGTGCCTCCATGCATCCTAAAGAAATCACGCATCCGAGAAGATATGTAAATCCACTTCTGGGATTTGTATTTCCGTATTATAATAACATGATTCGATACGGCTTTTTTTTCGGACTCAACGTTGCATGGCAAAGACTTTTGTGGGTGTGTTTTTGTGGGTTTGGAATAGATTAGTGGCACTTCCATTCTTTTCATGGGGAAAGACAATTTGAGATGAGTCTTGAGTTACGAGCGTGGTCATGGAAACAAATTCAACTTGCAAGTCAGGGCACCGCTGTACAATGAAAGCACATCATTGTTGTTTGCACTGTTCGAAGGTACATAGCTAGCTTTATATCGAACAATGAAAGGGCGGCATGGGTGTGTGGGTGCCTTTTCACTCCACTCTCAAACAATCCGAAGCGGCCGGTGACCTCTGAGCCTCATTCACGCAAGCTGTCAGCACAGCTCAGTGGCGGCGAGACAACAAAGAGCATCGATTGTGTGCCCATTTACTCCTCCGTGCTCAGGCGCAGACACACTCAAAAGGACAGGCCGACATGGATAAGCCAATGCCGGGAACGTCTCTCACCGCCACCCGTGCATTTTCCTTCTCGGCTCGACGTCACGTTTGTGCGCTGTGGCAGCCAGGAAATGGAAGCCCGAGTAATGCGACAAGGAAATTCTCAGGCTATGACTACACAAAAATCGTGTCCTGTTTATCGTCTTGATGTCATTTTACTCTACGCCGCCTTTGGTTGCAGTAACAAATTTGTCCTAACATGGGATCCTCGGTTTACGATCGTCCCAACATCCGAGGTTTCGAAATTAGAAACAGTGCACTCTGAAACAGTCTGCTGGGCATCTTAAAGAGTAGTTGGTCACGTAGCACAATAAGGCACACTCAGTAACCACTATACATCGTGTTTTTTTTTGTTCTTTTTTTTGCTTTTATTATTATTTACTTCCCAAGGTTTGAAATAAGCGTTTTCACATTGCAGTTTGTGGGTCATAATTGTAATTTTGAGCTTCAATAAAACACATTAAAGATCCAAGCTGTTCATCACAGTTTTCCCGGACCACGGACATTGTCTAAAAAAAGCTTCTCTAGGCTGCATGTGTGCATGTTAACGTAGCCGCAACACACTTATCTCACCTATGCACGAGCTCCGTGCTAAATTGTGTCTCCTAGCTTCTCTTCCCCTTCCGTGACACGCATGCTGTTCACGTCTGCCCTCGTCATCAAGATGACAACGCTCGGCTTTGGTGTTCCACGGCATGAGTCATACAGCCATCTGAATAGGAAGCAGCAATGCAAAAAAAAAAAAAAAAAACATTCTTACTGGAAAACACCTGACTGGCGCAAAGGTCGGAGGTGCGCGTCTTGTGGCATTTGAACGCTACGCTGGCCACGTTTTAGAATGAGTGTAAAAACGCAGCGTGCGCCTGTTTCTGCAGACACGCATGAGCTGCCAAGTGATAGCAGAGGGGGGAATTCTTGAGCTGAAAGGGACACAAACAATAGTGTGTGCATGTGTCTTTGTGTGTGCTTCGGTCCGAGTGGGGGTGTCTTTGCGCATGCGTGTCTTTGTGGTTGTCTTTGTACGCGCATGTGTGTGTGTGTGTGTGTGTGTGTGTGTGTGTGTGTGTGTGTGTGTGTGTCTATTGTTGTGTCATTGTGCTTATGTTGTGTGTATGTGTGTCGTCATCTGTCTCTGTGGCTGTGTCTTTGTGCATTAGTGGGTTTCTTTGTGTGTTTGTGCTTGTGCGTGCATTGTGGTGTCTTTGCATGTGTGTGTCTCTGCGGTTGTCTGTATCTGTGTCTGACTGTCTGTTGTTATGTCTTAGTGCACGCGTTGGTGTCTGTCTGTGTCTTTGTGGTTGTGTCTTTGTGTGTGCGTGTGTGTGTGTGTGTGTGTTTTATGGTTGTGTCTTGGTAAATGATAAATAGTGTGTGCTTGGACAGCAATTTCACCTCCACTATGCTGCCCAAAGCACTTTGCAAAGCCCCACATCCATTCATGCGCATCTTCATACACTCATGGGAAGTGCGTGTCTTTGTGCGTCTGCTTGGGTGTGTTTTTGTGGTTGCGTCATGCTGTGTTCATATGCGTTTGTGTGTCCGTAGACCGTCAAAATAAAGTTGAGAGTGAGTTCAATATTTCCAGGCAACACTTTTTGATAACATTTAAAATTTTGCTGATGTGAAAATGGGATTTGCTGTATTTTACAACAAAGAAATGTGTTTACAGAACTGTTGTCCCTTGTATTGATCACCCGACTTAACTCAGCAAATTATTTTGGAGCAAGCAACTTGGTTGCTTTGTTGTGGTAAGAAAGAGAAATGTGAAATAAAATAAAGCTGTGTTTGTTTGTATTTACGGTGCACATCTGTCTTTGTGTCTGGTGTGTGAGTGTGTGTGTTCGTAGTGATGTCTTTGTGTGTCATTGTTGTTGTTGTCATTTTGTGTGGGCTTCACAATTAATGACATTTCATTCATGTTCACAATTTTGGCTGCCGTGATTAAATGAACGTGATGGCTGGCGATTTTAGCATTCGAAATGTCAATCGTCCGCTTGGGTGTGTTTTTGTGGTTGCGTCATGCTGTGTTCATATGCGTTTGTGTGTCCGTAGACCGTCAAAATAAAGTTGAGAGTGAGTTCAATATTTCCAGGCAACACTTTTTGATAACATTTAAAATTTTGCTGTTGTGAAAATGGGATTTGCTGTATTTTACAACAAAGAAATGTGTTTACAGAACTGTTGTCCCTTGTATTGATCACCCGACTTAACTCAGCAAATTATTTTGGAGCAAGCAACTTGGTTGCTTTGTTGTGGTAAGAAAGAGAAATGTGAAATAAAATAAAGCTGTGTTTGTTTGTATTTACGGTGCACATCTGTCTTTGTGTCTGGTGTGTGAGTGTGTGTGTTCGTAGTGATGTCTTTGTGTGTCATTGTTGTTGTTGTCATTTTGTGTGGGCTTCACAATTAATGACATTTCATTCATGTTCACAATTTTGGCTGCCGTGATTAAATGAACGTGATGGCTGGCGATTTTAGCATTCGAAATGTCAATCAAGCATCAGGGGCGAATGCATGACTTCGTTTCACTGCTTAAATTACAAGCTGCAGGGGCAGCCTAAAGTCACTCGACAGCATCTGTTGTTGGACATCTCAGATTCAGGGCAAATGGCAACAGTGTAAACCCGTATGTTTTTAGTTAGCCCTTGGTAAAAATGTACCTTTTTGGGGCATTTAAAAAAAAGATGATTTGCAGTAAATGACAATGCCCTCCATTATGCAAAACGATAGAGCTTATCATTTTGGCCACAATCATGCAGCCGCCTCAGCGAGTTGTTCCGAGAAGAGAGCAAAATGCAAATAGTGACACTGCCTTGAAGCACACAAGCACAATTCGTTACTGTGCTCGTTGTGTACGGGCACACAGGCACAACCCTCTTCCTGTGCCACGGGTGTGTCAAATATGGGAGACTGCGCTTGTACACAGTAGAGAGTTGTGTCGCCAGGACACTGCTTGGCTGTATGCTTTGGCTGGATTGACACAAATGTGCTACTTTCCTCAGTGCACCGTCTCAACGAGAGCGTCATCCTCATGTTGAGGCTCACTCGAGAGTAGCGGAAGATGCCAGTGTGAGTCACCAGCTGGAGTTCGCGTGAGACGGAACAATAGGAAAAGCAAAGCGGTTAGGCAGTCCGTTTGTTTGTAGTGACACAGGAACCAATGGTGCCTTGCTTTTCTCCATTTCATTTGATTGCCGTATTCTCACTCTGAAATCGCATCTAATTACGGCCCGAGCAACAGGCAGAGAGCGAAGCGCCCCCTCGGGACCCATCCATTCATCTTCTGTACGGTTTACCCTTGTTCAATCTTGACATGCTTCACTTAGGTCAGCTGATACGTAGCTTACTACAACTACACTGATGACACTCAGATCGACGTGTCCATGACAGCAGGTGAAATTTGAAATGTGCTCTCTCACTGTATCAAAGGGATCAGCATGTGGATGCAAAACTTTTTTCTTTCATCCATCCATCCATCCGTTCATTTTCCGATCCGCTTTATCCTCACAAGGGTCACGGGCGTGCTGGAGCCTATCCCAGCCGTCTTCGGGCAGTAGGCGGAGGGACACCCTGAACCGTTTGCCAGTCAATCGCAGGGTAGAGATGAACAAGCATCCACACTCACACTCACACCTGGGGACAATTTAGAGTTTCCAATCAGCCTGTCATGCATGTTTTTGGAATGTGGGAGGAAACCGGAGTACCCGGAGAAAACCCACGCAGGCATGGGGAGAACATGCAAACTCCCTTTGTTTTGAATGACAAGTCCATGGAATGACCTTATCAACCAATGTCATGATGTGCTGTATAGTAACCCTTTCATGCACCCTGTAACCTGATAACACCATAAGCTGTCCACTGTAGTAACCGCCGTCCCGGAAAGGCTTAAAGGATACAAGGTTCTCTGGTCTTAAGCATGGTTGAAAGAGGACTCCCCTCTTTAAATTCTATCCATCATCTTGTATGATATAAAATAACCAGAAGAGACTCCAAATCGGGAAAGTTGTACTCAATGCAATGGTGTACCACATACACACTTGAGCCAGAATTCGTATGGCAATCAAGTACGTTTAGGCAATATCAGAACAACGTGCATTCACCGGTGCCTGTTTATCACCCTGCGGCAGGTGGACTTGACTTCTCCGATTATCAAGTGTGTATTTCAGGATACGTGGCTAATAAACAATGAAACTGTCTGGCTGCGGTTCCGCCAGTTCCTGTCTGATGCTGTCAAGGAGAGCAGTAGCAATCACGTGCTCCAACAGCATGCAAGGCCGGCAGCCCCACAGACTTTTTGTGCTCTTTAAAACGTGACTTTCTGGACCGCAAGACAGTCTGGGATGGAGTAATTTGCAGGGGAAGTGTTTCGTTTGCACATACGTGTGGTTGACTCGTCATATTCACATGATATTAAATGTGGGTTTTTTTTGAAGGAGGGGGGGGGAGGAATATTAATGTAACTAACCATGCCCAGATTGATAAAAGTTTTTCAAGGGCCAAGGAAAGCCATGACTGCCATCCAAAGAATTGCAGTGGAATTAAATCGCCGCCAAATTTTCACTGCTCGTGTTGACGTTTTTTCAGCCTTGTCACTTTCCCCGCTACATTTCTCCCCGCGGAGGTCTGTCCATTTGTTCCGCTCTAGTATTTCCTGAAAAGGCCCGTGTCAGTCTCTTCGCTGTGGTAGAAGAAGATAAACCTGCCGAGGGGTTTTAAAATAAAAAGGAAATCGTTGGAGCGTGTATGCGTGCGCGTGTGTGTTCAAGTGGAAGAGTGTTTCCATTGATAAGAGTGTACTGTGTGTTTTGAGCGTGAACTCTTATATTCCTCGATAGCGACGTCAAGATAAAAACGCAGGCCGAAGGATAAGAATCGTATCGTTACAAAAACGTTATTCTGTCAAACCTGTGCAGGCTCGAGATAAGGACGTGATGTATTATGAAGGACATAGAAGGAATTCCGATTCTATTGTCCGTGTCGCCGTATGTCGCTCGTGAGCTTTATTACGTGCTGGATTGGACATTTCTCGTTTTATTGCATTGCAGGTTACACAGATGGAAGCCCCACTTGCTAAGCGTCTGGCGGGATTGTCCGTCTTCATCTTCCTCCTCTCTCAAGGTAAGACATCCTCGCACTTTTTCAGTGATGGAACTCACTGAGTACAAATGCGATCATGAGCTAATGTAGTATTTTTGATACTCGCTTCACAATGTTAGCAAAGCTCTGGGAATGTGTGATTTGGGGAATGTGCATAAAAGTTTGAGCCAATGTTAACTTGCTCTTGGGTTAAAAAATAAAATATTGAACATGCAACATTGCGCAATGTTATCAAAAGGGGTGCTGTACATACAGTACAAATTCATTTTTACTGATTATTTTTAACCCTTTCAGGGACAGCGGTTACTAAAGTGGGCAACTTCTCACGTTATCGGGTTACAGGGTGCATGAAAGGGTTAAATGCATTTCAGAGTCTGTGCTTTTTCACTTTTACCTAAAGTATTGGAATTGAATCAGTACTTGTACCTTTACCAGAGTATTTTTTTTTTACACAAGTATCTTAACTTTGGCAACCTTTTGTTTGATGTGAACCTTCACATTCAGTGTCATGTCTCCACATAGTATCATGCGACCGAGATCTGCACTTTTGCGGCACCTGGCGGCACGGCCACCATCCACTGAGCCTAAACTTCGACATCTCACCCGGGTGTGGTCAGATCATCATAGCGGCCAATGAAAGCTCGCTGGCTGTCCGCGGGCAGATTGCAGCGCAATGCAGGCGCTCCAGCACGCACCAGCTCATCCGCCAGGCGCTCGACTCGGACGGGCAGAGTCGCTTCTGCTTGTACTGGGAGCCGCTGCAAGACCAGTTGAAGTTACAGGTAATTGGAGGGGCTGGCCATGACGTCATTTTCGTCATCACAGTTGTGGATCTGACATGCATTATATTGATCATGGGTGAGCAAACCGTGGACGGTGCTATAATTTGGTGTGGCCCCCTGAAAATTCACAAACATTATCAAGAGTGCTAAAATATTACAGTTACAATGTAGCCATATTTTTCCATAACATTGGTTTCTTTTTTACTTTTTTTAAAAAAAAAATCTCAAATAAGTCAGACCGTATAACAGAGAGAAATGTAGTTTCCCTTTTTTAAATTTATTTTTATTTATTTATTCATTTTGCGCAAATATTCCAAACCCCTGTTTAAGACCAGAGGATACATCTGCCTTGTTTTGAGTCGTTGCGTGTCAGTGAAATGGCCACATGACTCATTCCACATTGTTTTTTGTTTTTTTTTAATTTTTTTTATTGTCATCGTTAACAACATCCTCAGGCCTGATGATCAAATGTACAAAGGACTCACCAGAGGATGCAAACCACACATTCGCAAAAAAATAAAAAATAAAATAAGAAGCCTCAGAAATGGATGTGGACTCACTGAAGTTGTTGCTTAGGTGGGCATGAGGAACTTCACGCTTTGCTGGCCCAGCGGCATGCCCGACTCCTGTTGCACGTACTTGTCGTACTCCTCCAACGCACCCGAGGCCACCTACGGCATCGCAGACGGGCTCATCGAGAATGACATCGTCACCCGTAAAACCCTTACGGCCTACGCGTTTGACGGGACCGCTGTCAAATGCGGTGAGATATGGCGGGCATGTTATTTATCGATCATTATTCAAACCTTTACAATGGCATTTTTTAAAAGTCTTATTTTTGTGTTTTTGTAGCCACCTTCTGTTCCAAGCAGAGCAGTGGAGGCGCCCAAGTCCATGTGTAATTTCCTCCCTCCGTTTCCTTTTCATGTGCCTTTTCATTTTAAGTAACATGGCAGCTATTTTAATGTCAAAACACTCCCCTGTATGATTTACTTGAATAGCTGAGCTGACAAAAAGGTAAAAAAAAAAAATAATAATAATAACCTGGCGAGTGCTGATAAAAGCTTGGGAAAAATCTGAGTTACGGCTGAAATGACGTGAAATGAAGTGTTGCTTGTTTGTGTGTGTGTGTGTGTGTGTGTGTGTGTGTGTGTGTGTGTGTGTGTGTGTGTGTGTGGGTGTGGGTGTGGGTGTTGTGTGTGTGGTTCTGTGCCTAGGACTGACCAGGCTTCTGTGGAGGCCCTGTGTGCCCTCAGCTCAGAGGTGGAGCTCAAGGATGGCTTCAGAGGCATGAACATCAACCCGCCTGTGAGTCAAACACACAAAAAGTGAAGTAAGGACTTGATGCAACCATGGATGTGATGAGAAGATCCACAAAGCCAGAAAAAAACTCTCATGGGCTGTTGTTTGTTCATTGCACTCTGTGCCACGAGCAGATATTACGCATCCTCCCCTCTGTACAATAGCACCACCTGGTGATTAAAATTAAATTGCAGCCCGCAAGTTAGCCTCATGACAGCTTGTCACTTTGTAAATTCATATTTATTTTTGATATTCTTCGCTTCATTTTGACTTGATTATTGTTTTTGTAACACTGTCATATTTAAAAAGTTCTTACTGTATTTTTTTTTATTACCGTACTTAACCATATTTCTGTTTTTTTGTTTTCCAGCGTGTGAAAGGCATTGCCCCAGAGTCAACCACCCCCACCATTCACCTTCCCCCGGCTTTGAAGCAAGCTGCCAAGAACAGCAGCAAAGTTGTCTACACCTTCTTCAAAAACAACTCCATGTTCCAGGTGAGTCCCGGCGATAAGACACCGGTCATAAAATTATACCCGTACAGTACATAACATGGTGCCGCTGTGCAATGTGCGCGCCTTTCAGGAGGGTCTCAAGGAGGTAAGGGTTCTTGATGATGTGGTCGAAATCTCCGTGGATAACCAAGTCATCCAGAACCTGACTGAGCCAATCAGGATTGGCTTCCATCATGATGTCATCCCTGTAAGTTTGTGTGTGTGTGTGTGTGTGTGTGTGTGTGTGTGTGTGTGTGTGTGTGTGTGTGTGTGTAGAGCCTGCAAAGTTAAATCATAATACACGTGATAAAAGCTTTTTTTTCCCACCTTCATTCCAGAAAACACATTCAAGGACATGCGTCTCGTGGGACACTAGGAAAGGTGGGAGAAGCATTATCACTTCATGCGCTGCATTTCCTCAAACAGTGGTCTCCCTCTCATGGTGGTTAACTTGTTCAGAGCCTTACCTCAAATTGTGTTTTTACTTCAGAAATGACCTTAACATGGCATGTGATACCATCATGTGTTGCAATAGTTAGATGTCTTTACCAAATTGACATAACGGTAGTGTTTTCATTATTAATCATTTGTTTTCATCTGCTGATTTATTATTATTTCGTGATAATTATACACTTAAAATCTCCCTAAATGTAGTGACATGTGCTTTTTTTGGTTGTTTTTCTTCCATACAAACTTACAAAAAATAATTTTTAGATTGAAGAAAAAAAAAAATCCAAGATACAGTGTATGCCTTTCTAATTCAAACTTTTAAGAATAAATAGAGTCAATGAAAGCCTCCCCTCCTACACCATTTGAGGAAATATGGAATCATTTCCCCATTTCTTCTTCTTGAATGATGCAGAAGAAAGTCTTGAGTGTGGATTTTGTGTGTATAGATCCAATGAGGGTGAAGTGGTCGGTGGAGGGTTGCAAGACGCAGCAGAGAGGAGAGAAGCACACCGACTGCCTCTGCGACCACCTGACCTACTTCACAGTGCTGGTGGTGAGCCATGCACAAACATGTACTCCATACAGTCACGAAACTACCGTACTCGTGCCGACTTGCAGTACTTACAGACAATTCTGCTTCCAACAACAGCAACTGGAGCCTCGCCCCGTGCGCCATCTGCTGGCTCTGACTGTCATTACATCTCTGGGCTGCGCTACATCTTTCGTCAGTGGCATCGCTCTAATCGTCTTCCTCTGCAGGAGAAGGTCATTTTTACAACAGAACGTTAAAAGTGGCGTGTGAGAAAGATTTATGAAACCAGATCACCCCCCACCCCTCACCCACCCTGTCCTTCAACAGGCGAGCTAAGGATCCGTCCACTCCCATCCACCTGGGCCTGGCTGTGTCGCTCACCTTTCTCAACGTGCTCTTCTTCTTCACCGGCGTCCTGGCCAATGCAGGAGGCCAGGAACTGTGCGTCCTGATCGGTGCGGGCCTTCATTACGCTCTGCTCAGCGCCTTTTCCTGGATGGGTATTGAAGTGTTCCACACCTTCTGGCTGGTCTACGTGGTGTTCAGACCCTCCCCAAAACTTTACGTGTGGAACCTGGTCGGCTTCAGTGAGTGTGTCCGTGCTCGCTGGCCTCAAAAGATTGCTGGAAAAAACAGGTTGTGTGATATTTTAAACGCTCCGTAATTACATTTCAGTCTTGCCTGCCATACCGGTCATTATCCTGGCCAGGGTTGATGACATCTACGGCTTGAGGGAGGTGGCGTCCAGCGAAGACGAAGACAACCCGTTCCTGATGTAAGCCTTGGTTCAGAAATGTCCAAAAATATGAAATATATATACAGTGGTGCCTCGATATGCAAATGACACGACTTTTTTGAGAGTATTTTGAGATACAAGCTGTTCAGCAGATTTCGGGCTTTTACTTGAAAGCTTAAACTTAAGATGTGAATTTTGTATCGTGGCCGCAAATTTTGCATCACCCTAAGAAGCAGTTTAGCAGATAGAGAACATTTCTTCCCAATAGGCTTCAAGCTATTTAATGTCAATTCCTGTTATGTTTATTCAGTCAAACTAACCGCAAAGCAAAGAAAATTACGTGTATTATATATAAAAAAAAAAAAGCAAACATCTTTGCCCTCAGAAAGAGCCTGAATTCTAATGTTTATTTAATGAAATTTGGTTAATTTATTTCCAACAGCATATTTACTTTATTCCATAACATTTCTCTTAGCTGCGCTGCTTCCAGTTGTGTATGCTAGATTTTTTTTTCCCCCCAATTACATTTCATCCTCTGGGCTGCCTTGTCAACCCGAGCTTTGTAAGACGTACAAACTACTAAACTTCCAAAGAATTCCAACATGTCCTAATAGTAGGTCTCTGACATCCTGCGGTCCAAATACATAAACGATACAGAATTACAGCAGGCTTGATCTTCACGGGGTGGGGTGATTTTGTTTCTTGCAGATGCCAAGTACTGTACGTGACAACTGAGGCAAAGCGAGGGAGTTGTAACAAAGCAAGCTTCCTCGGTGTTGCCAACTTGGCCACCTTCCAACCCATCAAGCGACATTTTTTTTTTCCTATGCGTTAAGCAACAAATGTAGTGACTTTTTGTGATGTAATTGGAGATTCTGAGACTCCCCCCAGTGCAGTAGACGTTCCCCTTGATGCTCGCGGACTGTAATTGAATGGCATGTGTGAAGCCATTCATTTTCTCCTTCTCTCAACACCCGCCCTTCATAGTGACAAAAGAGGACTACATCTGAATGTGTAGATAAGATTTCAAGAGATTTTTTTTGTCCCTTATGGGCTTCCATCATTATCTCGTTTTTCATGTGTCCAGGTGCTGGATGAAGCCCAACCCCACGGCTTTGCTGGCTCACCACCTCACCAACACCACCATGCTGGCCTTGCTGGTGTCGGCAGGCCTGGTGATGCTCCTCCTGGTCTACCGAGAGATTCGCACCCGGGATGAGTGGCAAAAGAACCGCGTGGCCTTCCTCAGCATCTGGGGCCTCAGCTGTCTGTTCGGCACCACCTGGGGTCTGGCCTTCCTTGACTTCGGACCTTTCTCAGACTTTATCCTCTTCCTCTCCTGCATCCTCAATTCCTTCCAAGGTATTTCACGAAAGGAGGCAGGATTGGGACTGCATTTGCACGTTTTTTTTTTTTTTTTTTTTTTTTTACGGGAGGTCCAACTAAATATAGTCAGTCATGAGTGTTCATGTTGCCCAAAGGGAGCAGCGGGCTATTGTATCAGTGTGGGAACGCCCCATTGAGAGAGTGTAATCGAGACTCACCATGCCGTTGGCGCCAGGCAGAAGAAAGGCGACTTCCTGTCATGTGCTTTGACGCACTAAAGCACAGCATTGGATACATTCGAAATGGGGATATGATAGTCCTGCACTACTTTGTCTATGGTGTTAAGACCCACAAAAAAAGTCTCATGCTTGTAAAGACACAGGAGGTTAGCCATTTTGATTTGAAACAACCATTTTAGTGTCCTTATGGCCTGAATTAAAAATTTGCCATATAAGGCTGCAGAAAGTTGAGCAAATTCACCCCCCAAATATGGTTTTGCTTTCCAATGTTAAATTTCGTAGGTGTCTCTATCATGAGTAGACACACAAAACAGTCTTCGGAGGTCAGCCAATTTGGTTGAAAGGGGACGATATAGTTTGATCTTGGCCAGACATGCTAAGCTTAAGACTGCTTAGCATGTTTTGAAAATTGGTTCCCCAAAGCCAGTTTAACTTGGCATCATGAAACTTGGTAGGGATGCCTATCATAAGAAGATCCACAAAAAAAAAGTATCACACCCAAAAAGACACAGGTCAGCCATTTTGGTTTGAAGCTGCCATTCCAGGTTCATTTTGGCCTGACTCAAATTTTAGCTCAATAGCGCCTCTTAGAATGTTTTGAAACTTCAGCCCGCAACACCATTTTCACTTAGCAACTGGAAATTTGGGGGCCATGTTGATCAAAAGCAGACCCACAAAAATATGGGTCAGCCATTTTTGTGTTTTTTGTAGCTATTGCGCGGTGTACTTGAACACACATTTGTCCGATAGATTTTTTTTCCCAATACTAAAACTTTAACCGCATCTACTAAACTGATGGGTGACCCATACCTTGTTCTTGGATTGTCATCCGACTTTTCCCTCTGTCCCGTAAATGGCCTGAAACCGCTGTGTTTTCTGCAGGCTTCCTGCTGATGCTGAGGTTTTTCATGCTGGACTGGATGCGCAAGCACGCGGTGAGGATCAAAGAGTCGCCTGCCAAGGTTTGTCACATGCCCACGTCGCCGTCCACCATAAGTCAGGAACCTCTGGAGCCGCTTTGTCCCCGTTCTTGAGGCCTCCCCCGCTTTACTATACACAAACGTCACTCAGGTAAAACCGCCTCCATGCCGGCCCGGAGCCTGGACCTTCCTAGAACACCTAGACTGGCTCTAGTTGTATATGTTGTTTTTTTTTTTTTTCAACTTTAAGCTGGAAAGTAATGATCAAGCTTGATTTCCAGACAGAGTTAAGAAAGGTTACTGCACTGGTATTTCCTCTTGACTGTTTGATGAACCATTTCTGCGATGGACCTTAGCTATTGTATTTTTTTATTTTTTTTGGTACAGTTTTCAAGTAGCACTTTAGCTCTTCTGTTTTTGTCTGACATGCTTGTGTAGGAAAGGCTGGATTGTTCAGTTGACCGTCAACTTTTCCTGCTTGAATTATTTTTGATTTGAAACACAAAGCTGTTTATCTTTTGTCTCCGTTTTTTTTTCCTCACACAACTTGGAGATACTGCACATGCTTTCCTGTTGGACACAAATGCTGTATTCCCCTGTAGTGACTGGAGATATTTACTGAACTGCAGTGAATAGCTGACATTCATTGGGTGGAGGCCTTTAGTTTCATACTGGACAGCCTGCGGTACAAAAGCCCCATTTGAAATTGTTTTGTTCCTTGGTGAAAATTATTCTCAGGGCCAAATAAATTGTCTGTTTTTTTTTTTTGTTTTTTGTTTTTTGTTTTTTACACCATCTAAAAAAATCAGCCCCTAAAATAAGTTTTAGTTGGCCACATGGCTGTACATTTGCTTGGCAATTTGGTGTCATGAACCCTTGCCTTAAAAGACACAAATGGCAGACTACCTGCAATAACATTTAAAGTGACATTTAAAAGTCCTTCCAAGCTTCGGCTTTACAGATCCCACATCTGCTCTGCAGTGTGTTGTGGTTAAAAGACCACTCGTATCAGATGTTAGTGTGCAGGTAATAACGGTCACCGCAGTTGTTTATTTGAGGTGCGGTGTCTATTGCAGAGGAGACCATTGTTTGAGAAATTACGGGAGGTAGGCACAAAAGTTGACGTTCCCATTAAAAGGGAGGTCAATGATGTTCAGAATCAAATGTTTGCCTCTTTACCATGATTTCATTCATCAATGATGACGATGAAAGCACAAAATGGAGGCGACTGTTTTGAAAGAAGCCCCCAAATGGAGCAAAGACTTTGAGAGTACATGTTGCTCGAATATGAAAACAAACAAGTGTTTCACATGACACGTTACACAACAGGAAATGTTCATTGAAGTCATCTGCTTTGAATTGACACCCTTGTTAAAATCGTTTCTTTGGAAAGCCCAGCAGAAAGAAGACGTATTTGTCTAGCGTTTTTATTGTATTTGTCCCTCTCACTTTTTTTTTTTTTAACTTTTCCAACCGTTAATTATGAACCATGACATAAGAAAGAGATTATGTTGAAAAGTCTTGTTTTGACTTGTAAAAGTGACAGAAGTGTTGTTTTTTTAAATCCTGATTTTACATTGAAATTAATGTGACCTACCAGCAACTAAGTGAATTATTAGCTACTTTGATGTTTGCACTTTTTTGTCTCTGTATTCGCTACGCTATTGTTATTCAGGTTGTTGTTGTGTATATTTGTTTTTGTTGTTGTTGGATGTACAGTAAATGGAGCGTGAAAATAAATCATTTTGAAGACTACAAACACTCATGAAAGTGTGGTGCTTGTCACAATTGTGTTTCCTATGAAGTATAAAAGTTGATCTTGCTTCCTGGAATTGTCACTGACATTGCTGACTTGACAGCAACCTCTGAGCGAACTTAAGTGTATGTTATTTTTACCCCCCACTTTATCTACACTGTCAAGTATAGCGGACATGCTGTGATAAAACTAACCCCTAACTCTCACAAGCACACACATGATGGCTGCCAAGGCTTCCAAGTCACCTGACTGTGACCTGAAGAGCAACTTTGAGTGCAAAATGGTCCTGGGCTTGATAAGTGGATGCTAACACAGTGTTTTGCACCACCTGTGACACTTTGCACCAGCGTTATAATTGCAATGACCGCCATTACTTGGCAACCTTGATCATTGCAGGACTACTCTAATTATTTGCCTTTTCTTCACATGGTAGTAGCAGCTATCTTTTATGCAATACTATATATTCACTCAGTCAGTCGGTAAAAAAAAATGCGGACACAGTTCCAGGATACATCCACACATAGCCATTTTTAGGGGGTCAAATAGTAAGCATTATTCGGATTCTTGTCTTGTTTTTGACTGGCAGAGTGCTGACAAGGAGAACATTCTCACCAGTTTGACCTCCTCAGCTCCACCAAAGCATGATGAGCAACTCATATTTCATGCTATGTACTGGAATAGTATAAGAATTTCTTAATCTAATTTGTAATACAGTACTATATTCTTAATGTTGTCAATTACTTGTATATTTCATTATATTTTATTACATCTTGAATATTTGCTTGAACTTTTTATTCATATTTTAAAATTTTGATTTGATGAAAAATAATTTGTGAATTTATTATTGCAAATGTTTATTATCATTATTATTTTAGCCATTGATGAAGTTGTTGCCTGTAGCCAGGCAGACCTCAACCGCAACTGCCCAAATGACCAATTATTTTATGTTTAATATGTATATTTCTCTGTTTAATGATTTGAATATATTTGTGAAATAAAATGTATTACTAAAAATACATTATTTTAACCGTCTAGCTATAAATATAGTTGGGGGAAGGGTTGACTTTAATACAATAAAAAAATTGGTGATCATGAAATAAATTATAATTATTCAAAATAATGCTGAACAGCTTTTATTGAATGTATTCAAAATAATCGTTATTCAATTTTATTTACACAAAAATATTTCGTTGTTTGTTTTATTTTTTTATTTTTTCCATCGCCGCGCCTACTTTACTTCATACTGCTCTGTATCAAATATAAAAACATAATAGAAAAAAATCCATCCACTTTATGTCGGTTTGGTATGAAATACATTAAAATAATGGCAAGTGTCTGCCTGATCGTCACTCAACGATACGCGATGACGTCACAGTATCGCTGCAAACCAGTTGCCTCCAGGTGCCGGTAGTGATGCACTCGAACTCTGCGGACGCCGGCTGTCAGACTTCATTTGGAGTAGGAGGTCGCTCAGGTACTAACGGGACCCATACATGATAGTCTTTTTTTTAATTTTTTATTTTAACACACACACACTCACGCGCACACACGCAGGGGTCGTTTTTAGCAAATTTTCGTAAGGGGGAGGGTGGCATGGGCCGTTTTTTCAGTGTGGGACAAAGCGCGAACTCAATTCCGCTCCTGGCCGTCAATTGTAGTAACGCCAGAGGTCCTTGGGTGTCTAAAAAGATTAATTACAAAATAAAGCACATTATTATCCATCTTTTTGAACTAAATGTTATTTGTACCGCCTTTCAGTGCTTTATTTTGAAAGTAAAGTGTGGAAGAAGCTGTGATTAACGATAACTTTGTTCTTCCTGGTGTGTCAGTAACAGATGCCGGCATATGTAAAAACTGTCCTTTCGTTGAGTTTATATCTGAGAATGAATACCAAAATATTATATCAGTCATAAAATAAAAATAATCTTTTTAATAATTGGTGTCGAATCGTCATCGAGAATGAGCTCACACGGCATCACTGGCTGTAACATTAGAAAAGGATCGCCCCCAACCTCCATCATGGTGGCTACTTTAATGTAATTTATCGGAAGAAAAATGTATGGAAAACGTTATTAAACACATATTTTGCTTTTTATTTCATTTCACTGTCACAGAACGAAATTATTTACAGAATGTTTGCAAATGATGATGTATGTTTCCTGAGGCCTACACCATTGGTGCCAGGTGTTTTAGCGATATTTTTAAATAGGAGTCATTAATATTTTTACATTGTGTGTGTGTTGCCTTTTTGGGAGTGCTACACAAACTCTGTGACCTCCACTTGATTCTTGTTACACACCTGTGTGACAAGCATTTCCAGTAGTGAGGTTCCACTGAACAGAGGCGTTCTCCTTTTATGGCGCAATCTGCAATGACCTTGTGGTGGAAGCACTGGGGTTATATTTCACAGAAAAAAAAGATCTCAAGTGTTGAATTTGTGAATAATGTGTCAAAAATATGCTCCGGATTATTCTATACAGTGGTAAATTGACTTGGGTGAAGTAAAAAAAATTGAATCATCAAGGCAGTGTAATGCCCTCAAATGTGGGCAAGGAGAGTCACATTTTCCAATGCACTTTCAGCACTTTATTGAACAGGACAGAATCAACTCATGAGAAATGGAAGCACACACTAGGAGCTGCTGTTGCTACAATTCATGCCCAGATGCTGAAATGCAAACTAACAGATTCCACCTCAGTCGTCACGCAAAAGCAAACTTCAAACACCAAAGATTACAGTGCATACAGTTATTAATTACACTTTATATATGCCACATTAACTGTACTTCCCATAAAGTTCCATTTCCTGTTCTACGGTTATCATCACTGACGTGTATCCAACAGCTCCCTGCAGAGGTCACCACCGCTGAACCTCAACTGACCCCAGCCAGCGCCATCAAGTTGGACCAGGAAGCCTCCACAATGACGTCAATTAACGGCGCATTGGCGGGGCCCCCCAAGGAGAGCATGCAGTTGAAGAAGGAGATCTCCCTCCTGAATGGTGTCAGCCTCATCGTGGGCAACATGATTGGATCAGGCATCTTCGTGTCCCCCAAAGGCGTGCTCTTCTACAGCGCTTCCTACGGTTTGTCGCTGGTCATCTGGGCGGCCGGTGGTCTGTTCTCGGTGGTGGGAGCGCTGTGCTATGCCGAGCTGGGCACCACCATCACCAAGTCGGGGGCGTCGTACGCGTACATCCTGGAGTCCTTCGGTGGCTTCCTGGCCTTCGTGCGCCTGTGGACCAGCCTGCTGATCATCGAGCCCACCAGCCAGGCCGTCATCGCCATCACCTTCGCCAACTACCTGGTGCAACCTCTATTCCCCACGTGCGAGCCGCCCTACGCCGCCTCACGCCTCATCGCCGCCGCATGCATATGTACGTGTGCCGGCCGCTCATCTAATAACGGTAGCAGGCTGTGCACTTGGTAACCGAGACTTCAGCCGGCCGCTTTCCAGGGGAGGTTTTCTTTCTAATATGTTCTATGCACCCCCACTAGTCTAAACATGGCATAGAGAACCTCTTGAGTGACAGCCAATTTAGAGCGTTCTTATTTATCTTCCAAGGCTCATAAAATAGAATATTATGTTTTATGACTATATAAACACAGAAACACCCACGAAATAAAAGATCAGACTATACTTTCATTACACACAAAAAAGTTTGTTGATATCTTATTCCATTTTCAGTATAGCATGGGTTGGTTTCAACCTATCTTGGACCAAAAAATATATAAAACATGCTTTTTGTGAAAACACATTTTATACACAATTACTTTAATGCTCATAATTTTTGCTTTCTATAAAATACCTCAACAATAACGAAATGTTGTGCTTTTGATGATACAATAATGTTTTGATAAATATTCAGCAGTGTAACAATTTTACATTTTGTAGTAGATTTAACGTGACACTCACTTTGATCAATTGCAAACTGCTTTCAAAGGCCGAATTTCCAGAGGTCCGCGATGTTCGCGAGCGTCAAAGCGTGGTTTTGATACACGGTGATCTTATCTGAAATTTGACCTAATGCTGCCACCCGCTGGCCATACTATTTTTTTCTGTTTACTTTCTGAGCTTTCTGATCAAACCAAACAAGTCAACCATGACTTTTCTCCACCCATTCCTGTAGAAAAATGTTGATGGCAATTGCCGTCATTGGAGCTCTTCCGTTGACAACATTTCGCATCAACCGCGCTTGAAAAGTTAATAATTGTGTTTGTGGAATATGCACTCGGCAGAAATATCCATACATTTTCATCCGTCTCGGGCAACTGCCATTTTGCCTGACTGACACTTGTTGATTGAAAATGACATCACAGTGCCCAAGGGATCAAATAATCGTCAGTGCAAGGCAAAATGGCCGCCCACTGAGATGGATGAAAGCCGCAGGATTTTAATTATTCATTCACGATTACAATATTAGTCAAACTTCCGTGTTTAGAACAGTGGTGGCACATACAACCTATTATTATAAATACATTTTTTACTTGACTTCCCCTTTAAAAAGTAATGACATCCCCTCCAGCTTGTGTTTGCTTGCGTGTGTCTCCTCAGGCCTCCTCACCTTCATCAATTCGGCTTATGTGAAATGGGGCACCCGCGTGCAGGACCTGTTCACCTACGCCAAGGTCGCCGCCCTCATCGTCATCATCATCACAGGCATTGTCAAGTTGTTCCAAGGTGAGCCAAAGACAAAAATGGAACCAAACAAAAAACACAAATCTGTGATGAAAAAAATCGGTTGGAATTGGAAAGAAAAATGAAAACATCATGTAAAATATGCGCCAAAAATATGAGACACAAACGAAATACTGTACCCCCCTTTCGGAAAAATATAACAGAGTACAAAAAATACACAATTATTTGGAAAAAAAGCTATTTGAAAAAAAACGGTATAAAAATACTAAATATTTGATTTTTAAAGTTACAAATATTTTGGCCAAACATGCCCAAATATTATCGGGAAAATACATTTCACAAAAATAATACTGAGATACAATATCAGGAAAAATGAGGAAATTCAAAATGAAGGGCAAATCATTCAAAAATTTCAAGACCAAATCACACCGAAATCAAAAACACACAAATATTATGATATTTTTGAGGACAAAAAAAAAATGCACAAATATTTAGGGAAAAAAATAAGGCAAAAATATGAGAAACAAAAAAAAAAAAAAACAAAAAAAAAAAAAAACAAAAAAAAAAAAAAACAAAAAAAAAAAAAAACAAAAAAAAAAAAAAACAAAAAAAAAAAAAAACAAAAAAAAAAAAAAACAAAAAAAAAAAAAAACAAAAAAAAAAAAAAACAAAAAAAAAAAAAAACAAAAAAAAAAAAAAACAAAAAAAAAAAAAAACAAAAAAAAAAAAAAACAAAAAAAAAAAAAAACAAAAAAAAAAAAAAACAAAAAAAAAAAAAAACAAAAAAAAAAAAAAACAAAAAAAAAAAAAAAAAGGATATCAGACGCAGTTACAAAATATGAGACAAAAAAATTGAATGAAAAAAAAATGGGTCAAAAATAAATCAATAAAAGGTTTGCTTTTCTGTTGGTCAGGTTACACTGGCAACTTCGAGTCGTCCTTCCAAGGCTCCACCACAGACGCCGGCAACATCGCTCTGGCGCTCTATTCGGCCCTCTTTTCCTACTCAGGCTGGGACACTCTCAACTTTGTCACTGAGGAGATCAAAGACCCCGAAAGGTTGGTCCCTTTTTTAAATTTAACTTTCCTGCCACTGGATGGGAGCAGTGTGATTCTCATCAGCTTTTTCACAGGAACCTTCCTCTGGCCATCGCCATCTCCATGCCCATCGTCACCACCATCTACATACTCACCAACGTGGCCTACTACGCCGTGCTGGACATGAGCGCCATATTGGCAAGTGACGCCGTGGCCGTGGTAAGGCACAATTTATCAAATCGGGTTTCTAATCAATGCTCGAGCCAGTTGGACTGACCTGATTCAAACGTGAGGGAATTCCCGTCGTGTGTTGAGACTTTTGCAGACCACGCGTTAGGCATGATGAGCTGGACCATCCCCATCGCCGTGGCACTGTCCTGCTACGGTGGCCTCAACGCCTCCATCATTGCCGCGTCCAGGTAGCGTTCGATTCAGCGCTTTTTACTGTCTTGGTGTCACATCCACCATGTTTGCTGGTTGTGTGTCTGCGCAGGTTATTTTTTGTGGGTTCCCGTGAGGGCCACCTTCCCGACGCCCTGTCCATGATCCACACGGAGAGATTCACTCCCATCCCCGCTCTCATCTTCAACGTAGGCAACATGCACCACTCTTTTCTATTCTACCTGAATTTTCTATTCTACCTGAATTTTCTAGTCAGTGCTCTAGCCATCACCATTTTGAACCAATTTGCCAGAAAAAAAAATAAGGATTTCTTTTTCAATCTGGTTCAGACAAAGAGAGATTCTTTATCTTTCAAGGATATCTTAACTCAGGTGGTCATGGTCAAGTAGCCAAAGAACAAATCAGCATAGCCCCCCACCCCCCACCCAAAAAAATTTTGGAACGCAAGATCAATTCCTTTGTTTTTGTTGTTTACTGAAGAGTAAATAAGCGTTATGACAACCAAAATTAATGAAATTCACTTGATTTCATAAATAATGTCTGTTCCATTACTTTAGCTCACTAGAAAAAGAGGCTGGCTTCAACAATAGGTTGAGTTGTTGAACACCTTCAGTTCTAAATAGCCTGAAATAAATTTGCCTGATGATTCATCTTTTGATCGAGAGTAGCCAGATGAGGTGGCTTGGGCATCTGATTAGGATGCCTCCTGGACGCCTCCCTGGTGAGGTGTTCCGGGCATGTCCCACCGGCAGGCGGCCTCGGGGACGACCCAGCAGACGCTGGAGAGACTATGTCACCCAGCTGGCCTGGGGAACGCCTCGGGATTACCCGGGAAGAGCTGGAAGAAGTGGCTGGGGAGAGAGAAGTGTGGGCTTCCCTGCTAAAGCTGCTGCCCCCGGGACCCGACCCTGGATAAGCGGCAGAAAATGGATGGATCTGAAAGCCAAAAAATGTTCACTATACAATAAAAACAAACGGATAGACCTTGCCATCCCAATACTTTTGGATGGGACTGTATGCTTTTCTTGTCAGAGCTCAGGCTGGTTAGTTCAAGGATAGCTTTTAGCCACCACAATTCTCATCCAATCTACTTCAGACATTAGGGGATTTTTGGAGGCGCGGGTGCGGCGGGACAGCAACGATAAAATGATGTGATGGGAGATTTGTTGCTTCCAGTGCTTGATGTCGCTGATCTACTTGACGGTGGAGGATGTCTTCCAGCTCATCAACTACTACAGCTTCAGCTACTGGTTCTTCATGGGCTTGTCCATCGTGGGACAGATCTACCTGAGGTGGAAGGAACCGCAACGACACAGACCGCTCAAGGTAAAGCATCGTTACTCTCACTTTAACAGCGCACGTCCCAATTCATCTTCTGTTAACGTTTGGAATGATATTGAAAATGTTTTTGTGTGCGCGTTACGCAGCTGAGCCTGTTGTACCCGCTAGTGTTCTGCATGTGCACCATTTTCCTGGTGGCCGTGCCGCTCTACAGCGACACGCTCAACTCCCTGATCGGCATCGCCATCGCCCTGTCGGGGTTGCCCGTCTACTTCTTGGGCGTTTACCTGCCCGAGTCCAAGCGCCCACCTGTCATCACCAAGCTGCTGCGTGAGTTTCCTCGTTATTTTAGACATCTGGCTGTGGTTTTGTTGTGGTGTTTATGCTGATTACTGTATTTAAAATCAGGTTCAAAAATTTTGAAAACCTATCATTTTATTTGTCAAGTATGCACTCAAGTGTCTTTTGTCAGCTACTGGCTGAATAATGTGTGCCGCTGGGTGAACACAAATGATTTCTGATGAGATTTCAGGATTTAATGAATTCATGGACAAATAAAAGCTTTATTTTGCATTTTAACAAATTGTTTTGGCAAACAAAAAGTTACAGAAGGATTTTCCATTTTCACTTCAAATGCACGTTGAGAATCATATGAAAGACTTCAGCCATTAAAAATCAATGGCCGTTTTTTTTTTTTTTAAGTTAAAAATATATCATTATTTAGATCCTGATTCCATTTGTCCTTCTTCCAATCATTCTGTCACACGTGGGATTGAATTAATTCAAGAAAAATACTTTTGGGAAATTCAAGTAAAATGGTACCATTGAAGTATCACGTGTTTCAGTTCTTTGATAAAAATCGTATGTGGCTTGTGTGTGCAGGTTCTGTGACCCGCTGCACTCAGTACACGTGCTTCTGCGTTGTCACCGAGTCAGACAAGAGTGAGTAAAGAGACTCCACCAGCACAGTCCCGATGCATAATGGTGAAACAAGAAACAAAGAGGTCTGTCTTCTTCTTGTTGAAACTTTGACTACTTTTGCGGAATCAAGCGGGAAAATAGTGCACTTACGTTTCTTCTTTTTATTTATTTACCATTGACGCCAACGACTTGCCTTGCGGCTTCTCTTCAAGCGGTTTTCTTTGCTGTGTGTACTCATCCAATGATAGTGTTCTTGTAACTTTGTAACCTGTGGGACACGGTTAACAGGTTTCAGGATTCATTCAGGTCAAGTTCAACGATGCCTGCCAGACAAATGCACTTTTTGAGCGCTTTGATGCAACATACACAATAGGAACTGCTGAGGAGGAAAAAAAAACTCTTGTATTACCGGTATATTGTTTAATAATATATAAACATTGTCCCTGTCCAACCTAAAACATGTATTTCCTTTATTTATTTTTTGCTATCGTCTAAATTTTTGGTTTGCAAAAAAAAAATGTGTTTGGAATGAAAATATGGCAACAAAATTGGAGACACTAAATTCATGTCTAAAAAAAAACAAAGTAAATAAGAGTGAGTTTGGGATGTTTAATCAAATCAGAATATAGTGACTTGCAAACCATGCTCAACCTATCTTTTATCGAATACACTACAAAGTCACACAGGTGAACAGGGAACAGGTGGGTGCCATGGTTGTCGCTTCCCGTAATTGCTCAGTCATTCACAAGCAAAGATGGGGTAAGGTTCACCTCTTTGTAAACAACCGCATAAAGAAAATAGTTGAACAGAAGTTAAAAGGCAGCATCTGGGATGGTGTGGGGCTGTTGTAGTGCCAATGGCATACATAACACAGACATCTGAGAAGACACCATTAATGCTGAAAGGTACAGACAGGTTTTCACTTATGAACAGATGTTGCCATCCAAATGATGCCCCTGCTTATTTCTGCAAGACAATGCCAAACCGCATTCAACGACAACTGCGTGGCTTCGTAGTAAACGTGTGCGTGTATGAGGCTCGCCTGCCTGCAGTCCAGACCTGTCACCCATTGAAAATGTATGGCGCATTATGAACGCCAAAATAAGAATCAATGTGTTTTGCAAGAAAGTAGTTTTAAGGGATTCACGCAAGAAGCAGCAACATCAGTAAGTGCTTTTAACATTTATTTTCAAATCTGTTATACACATATTTACAAATTAATATCCAACAAGCATTCTAACACATTCAACTTCAACAAACAAAAACGTGGACCAAAATTGACGCTCCCCAAATGTCGGTCCCGCAACACAACACAACCCCACACTTCCACAGTATACAAAACACTCTAGAGCACATATGCAATTGAACGCACTGCACGCGAACAGCACAAAGCATACCGAACACACATACGCACAAATGTACTTAGAAAAATAGAAAGGACCAATTTGGATTCAGTCGGAGTCGTACTTGTCCGTGTCGCCGTCGTCGAGGTCCCGCTGGTGGTTTTGGTGGTGATCGAGCTGTTGCAGCAGCTCTTGCTGGTAGCGTTGCCAGCTCCTGCGGTATGAAAAGTGCTCCTCCTCGTTGTCATCCTCATCCCAGTCGTCTGCAACCCAACAGGAACGGGCGGGTAAGCGGCATAATTGGCGCCAACATGAAAACAACCCTTCCCAGCTTTTGCTTTTTTTTTTTGGCAACGCTTCCTGCGTAAGCAGTCGTCACTTGCATGTCGGAATTTCATTTTTGTGCTGAGATTTTTCCTTACTAATTTTCGCCAATTTCTTTCCCAGATATTTTTGTGTGAGTTTTGTTGTTGTCATTTTTCATATAATCTTTTGTTGTCATTGTTTCCATTTTTTCCTAATTAAATCTGTGTTCCTAACCTTTGTCTTTTTGTCTGTGCGTGCATATTTTGTATAATGGTATTTTTGTCAAAGTATTTTCATGTTTTTCTGTTTTACTCATTTGTATTGGTGGGTGGTATCAGCAGCCTTCACAATACCCGATACCTCGAAACAAAGCTGGTATCAGCCCGATAACAAGGTACTCACCCATCTCTCTTAACAACAGTGGTTAGCTTCTTTTAATGGTGGAAAAGAATCACATTTATTTGTACCTATAGCATTAATGACATTAACTGACATTACTTAATAAGTAATAACTGACATTACTTGCAATAGGATGAACGCTTTTGAAATTTGAGGCAAAGACCGTGTTGGCGTTCGGGGGTTCGGTAACAAAAAGACGTACGCCCGTAGCGTTCCTCTCTGTCGCTGTCGTCGTCATCGCTCTCATCTTCGGGGTAGTCGTTCCTCCAGTTGTCTTCCTCATTCTCATCATCCTCGTCATCATATGTCTCACCCTCGCCAGCCTCCTCCTCGGGAACCTGATGACGGCTAATTCCTTACTCCGGACTTCAGGAGACCTTCTTAACACCCTCTTATACATACACACTCGCAATGCATACCAGTTGTGTGTGGTCTGCGTAGGCCCTGACAGACAGGATGTCGTGGATCCATCCCGGCGTGGCGGTTTCCTGGTAGTAGAGATCGTACACGTAGTCGCTGTCGTGTCCTTCCTCGTTGGCGTCGTCGTGTGGCCAACGTCGGTGTTGCTGCTGCTGCTCGTGGATGCACAGGCGCTCTCGTAGCATCTTGGTGTTGTTGCACAGGATCACGTCTGACTCTTGGATCTAAAAAGCATGTTTAACATTTTGCAAGGTGCGCTTGCATGTCTTTAAAACAGTTTTGTGCGATAGCTTTCTTCTTAAAAAGAAAATCGATTGTATTTTTTCTTCATATTTTATATTTACTGTCTCATGTTTGTTTTTCATGTTTTTATATTTGTCTACAAGTTTGATGTCATTATATTGTCTTTCTTCGTAATATTTTGGTACTTAGCCTATTATATGTGCATTTAACACACGCTTGCTCACTCACTCACGCCAAACTATTTTTTACTCTTCTATTTGTGTATTGTTGGATATTTTTGTAATTGTCTTTGCACAACAGCTTTGCTTCAACCGCTTATAGGGAACGTTTTGACTTGGTCCACTGCCATGAGCAAATCTAACACATTTCTTGTCATCCTATTGACGCAATCCAATCCTCTTGCTCACTAGAATCATGATGTGAAATTTTTAGAAATCTGTCCTCCTAACTTCTTAATGGAGGTGTGTACATCCAAAATGTCTTCCTCTCACCTTGCTGAGGGATTTGTCCTGGTCTGGGAGATCTTCGTGCAGGAGATCAACCACCTGGACTTCTCCATGACCTAAACACTTCTCCTGTTTCCGCGCATCTTCCTCCTCCTCTTGCACCTCCACCGCTGCCACTGTGGCGGCATCGCCCGCCTGGTGATTCGGCGTGTGGGTGGGTAGCGTGAGGCCAGCAGTAGTGCGGTGGCTAGAGAGGATCCGGTAACGCTCCTCACGCCGGATGCCCAATTTGGCGCTGCGCAGGTCGCTGAAAATGCGCTGCGAGCTGTTCGCGGACGGCCGCAGGGCATGCGCCACGCGGGGTCGGGCCAAGGCCTGACGGACCTCCGTTTGCACAGGGGCATCCTGAAAGGGGGAAGAGGAGACACCATGAGGTGGTCTTTTTTTTTTTTTTTTTTTTTTTTAAGCGTCCGTTTTCATTTTTGTACTTTTCCTTCATTACGGTTTTGGCTAGCATTTTTCTTATTTTTACCCTTTTAATGTATTTTTTTAAATCGGATGTTTCAGTGTTTTCTTTGTTCCCGGGCCCATATCTTTAAGGCCTTTGAAGCATTTTTTAATCAATTTCACACTGCGGTCTTTTAGTGTGATGACAAAGGGCGATATACAAACTTTTCATCATTTTTGAAAGCATTTTTTTGTTTTTCTTTGCTTTGCTTCTGAATGTCTGCTTCTGAATCTGTTGTGTTTGTAAATAATTTCAGGTGCAATGTCTTTGCTTTGTGTGAGGCACGTTGAGGTGCCTTGTGTATGAATGTGCTCTGTTAAAACAAGTGCATCAACTCACCCAAAGTGTTTAACATCAAATATTTAATCACCTTTTTTAATTGATGTGCCTAACTGATTATTTTTTTGTTGCCTTAAACATCTCATGATACTGGTCATCACCACTGCTAAAATTGATTGCATCCTGGGTTAAAAGGATCATTCAATTCAATACATTCCCTTTGACCACAGAAATAAAAAAAAGTATTTGGTTCAGTTTAATTTAACTTGGTTGTTGAGGCGCAGAAGCAAACATAACATCATCGGCATTTATGTCATATTCCTATCGCGCGATGACGTCAGTCGACGTGACGTACGATTTCCCGGCTAACGGTTACTAGCACAGCTTATAACTGCTCAACCTTGCGGCGCGTCGGGTAAGAGAGCTACCCCTCATTAAGGGCGTCAACGTGTCTTCCGCAGACGATAAGGAGACAAAAGTCATGTTAGGGCTGCTAAAAGTGCTCTTTTAGCGTTTTTCTTTACGTCGTGGTAAGGCCACCGGGCACTTTGCTCGTTAGCCGACACCGCGGCCATCTTACCTGTGTCGCTACAGTGGCCACGAGTTTGAACACTGACTTCTCTACGTCGGCCTCGCCGGGCTCCGGTGCCGTCTCGCCGGGAGCCTGGTTCGTCTCCGGTCGGATACGCTTGCAGGCGAGCAACAAGGCGTCCGCCGGGTCTGTGCCCCGCTTTCGCTTTACGCGCAGAATGGTGGCATTAGGCTCCATGTTTGTCTGTCGCCTGCCTGCGTGCGTGCGATGCTTTGCCTGTCTGGCACTGTCTGTGTTTGTCTCTTTGACGTCACGTGACACAAAAGAGTCCGCAGCCCCGCCCATCTGCTGGGCGCGCGAGTTTGTGGTGGTACGCAACAAGGTTGTAATAGTTTGGGATTTTTCATTGTCCCATACTTTGTTTTTACTTAGTTTTGAATATTGTTTTTAGAAATTAAATTAGTTTTAATTATATTTTCGACCAGGTTGGTTCATTTTTTATTTTTTTTCACATGCTTCGTTTTAGTTTAGTTTGTATCGGTTCATTTTTAACACATGGGAGTATTTTTCGAGTGCAATATTTTTTTTTCAAAGATGACTAAATACTGTGGATTAAATTCAACTACAATTTCCACAACTATTTGACTTTCCTTCTGTGTTATGGGTGTGTACAGCAATGCCTTGTTTGAAGGGAACAAGGATGTGTGGAAGGATGCAGGCATGGGGTAAACAAGGATGCATACAAAGGAGGAAGAAAGGGCATAAAGTGGGTAGGATAAGTGAAAGAAAGGTTGAAGGAAATGGGATGGGTAATGGAAGGAAAGAAAGAAGGAAGGATCTATGAAAAGGGAGAAGGCATGAATGAAGGAAACAAGCTCATGGCAGGGAAGGAATAGAGATGGTGTGAAAAGGAGGAAGGGATCCAGCCTTGCTTTGATCCTCACGTCCTCTTTTCTATCTACCTCATTTCTTTACTTCCTAAAGTAAGTTAAAAAAATATACCAAGACCACCTTGTTTACATTAAACACGTAAACACAGGACTGAGCAGGTTGGCACATGTAAATGGCGTGAACTTTATGATGCAACAACCTAGAAACTGCACAAAATCACTTCCTCTCATTCAGCCATTCACACAAACACGACTAATAATTTTTCATTCTAAACATTTATCCCTTACATAATTCAGATGCAGTTAAGAACCAAACCAATGTGGGTAGATATCATGTGATCAACTAACACACTATTTTATTATCTATTGTACAAAAATATGAAAAGAGCATACAATTAACGGAAATGTGACAGTGTCAAGGACAAGTATAAAACATTAAAAAGTCTAAGTGTCCACATTCTTAGGACGGAACCCAAACGTTGCCGTGTGTGTCTGGAGCCTTGTTGTATGGAATGTTCCAGATCCAAGGTTGATCTGTGGAGAAAAGGGGGGAAAAGGAGCATGACTTCATTGAAAGGTATTTTTATGACATGGCATACAGACACACACACATTGTAATAAAATGTATACCGTTAGGGGTGTAGCATGTTGGGGGTAGATCAAATGGCACGGGGAAACCAGAAGATGACGACGAGATGGGAAACGGGTTTTTCTGAACCGGGAACGTCTTCATGTTCTGCAAGAAAATGACGGTTACCGTCTTGTCTTTCAAAATAATGCACTTGAGCATGAGCAGTATCGTGTGTGTATACGCGCGCGTGTGTGTGTGTTTTCTCACAAAGGCTGAGGGCACATAGAGGACGCCGAGCTCATAGGATCGAACCATCACCTGTGTGTTGTTCTTCTCCAAAGCCCCCCACGCTGCTTTGGACAGGTTGGCGCTATAATTATGGGAATAATTATTAATTATCATTTTTATTGTATGTGAACCATATCCACGTAAAAGAAAAAATATACACATGCCCTAAAATACACACCTAATTTTTCCTCAAAATAATTGGACCAAAATGCATCTATCCACCAACCTGGTGACAAGGAACCATGCGAGCTGAGTGAAATCGGGTGAAGCCCTCATGTATGTCTTGATATGGGGCATGGCGTGAGTCCGCCCGGTTGCATCTGCCTGCCATCGGCTACACATACACACAAATACCCTCTCAATATTATTAAAATATCATTTACTTTGGTGCAATAAATTCACGTGGGAGATCATACTGAAAGTAGGAGTGCAGCCAGAGTTGCTTCTGCGCTGTCTGGATGCTGTAGGGGAGCGAGCCGCCGGCTAATGAACAAAAGGACTCTCAATAAATACCTCGAATAAAAACAATCTCAAAATAAATGCTCAGAAAATAAATAAATCACCAGGATAGCCTTCCAAACTTGTCCTGACATCTTCCACTGATGGATACAACTGCAAAAGAAAACAAATGATGAGGTGTCAATTATTATTCGAGGGTCGGGCTTTATTTGAACACTGACAAACATTACTCCAAGCAAATTTAGGGATATTGGGCTGTCGGGAGAAATTTCGGAATGAAATGAAAATGCACCTTTAATCGTGAACTTCATTTGATTTGGCTTTGATTTGACTTTGTTTGAGATGACGCCTCACAGTTTATCAACAGTGTCTTGCTGTTGTGAGGCTTCAAAGAGGATGTTCTCAAAAGGAAGTGGCCACCGAGCTTTGAGTGTCATAGCGTGTCATCAACAGGTTGTAAAACGGAGATATAGAAAGACTGGAAGAGTCACAGAAAGGCAGAGAAGAGGCCCTTTTTGGAAATAAGATGAAACACCAGTTTTGAATGTTTTCATTCAGCTCTTTGTTTGAGAACAAGCTGTGCAAAAAAGAATTGAAATGTTAAATAATTAGACATGTGCGCACAGAGAAGGTCAAATTAAGTTCAGATTGTAAATGTTACAGTGCATTTTAGATGCTGGTGATGAAGTATACCAAGTGAATAGGGGGGTTGGGCTGAAGAGACGATTTGCCCAGTGTGGTGAGGGTGCGCTGGAACTCCCCCGCCAGCCACTTGGTTTTGTCCACTCCCATGGAACCGATGCTGGAGAATTGTCCCACCACAGGCCACTGGTCCTCGCCAGGGATGCAGGTGGTCTGCTCGTAAAGCAACTGCAAACCGGGGGAGGGGTAAGTGAGAGAGAGAGGGAGAGACAATGTTGTGACAATCATGAAGATTAACACAAGATGACGTTTTTTTGTTTTTTTTACCTTCCTGAGCCTCAGGTGGCCCCAACGCTCCATGTCTGGCCCCACATATCTGCCAGGAGTGGAGCCCACCAGATACACCCTGACCACACATAGACTGGATAAACGTCATTTTTCCTATAATATCGGTCTCTGCGTTACCAGAGAGCGTCGGCGTTTCACACATTCATGTGATGACAAAAATACGCAGAACCCTGTGTATCAAAGCCTCCGTTGGTTTCTCCCCAAACCCTCACGTTTTCTCTTTTACGGCGCACCTGCAGATGAGATACTGTATGGTGATGCCCTGATGGTTTGCGTCATCCGCGTGAACAAATAAATTGTTCCTCAAATAGTGGCCTCTGCAAATTTGCGTGCATGTCTACGTGTGCATTTACGCAACAAGACGTGCCTGGTCTCCGAGAGGTCGTGCTCTTTGATCCGCTGGATCCACTCTTCCAGCTCGGGCGCCCGATAAGATGCCAAATATTCCAGCAGGTCCCTCTTGAAAAAGGTGGGCGACTCGCCGCAAGTGTCGCTGCTGCCTTTTGGTAACCGTGGAAACAGAGGACTCATCCACATCCTGGTAGAGGATTGGGGGGATTAAGAATCAGTCACTCGGACATGAGTTCAAGTTTTAGAAGTAGTGAAAGGGAAGCACCCCTGCGTCTTCTGGTACCAGTCAGCTCGGATGAGGTTGGAGGTTAGGATGATGACTCGGAAGCCCTCGTCATACCACAGCAGCATCATCTTCCTGCAATTAATCAATCCAAAAAGTAAAATCACTGTGTCTACGGATGCAAAACTACAGTAATAAAAAATAAATAAATTCTACTTATAATGAGTCATTCATACGTGTGGTGTGTGCCAAAAGCGATGTCCAACTTGGCCTGTCAAGCAAAAACGTTCATCATTACTCATATTGAAAAGAACAATCCTTTATTTCAAATGCGTTGATGGCCAACAAACACAGCACGGCGACTCAATGATTCGCTGGATGCTTTAGAGCAGGGGTGCCCAACGAGTCGATCATGAACAATCTGTAGCCCACGGACTGGTCCCAAGTCAATGGCCTCACCTCAGATTTTCTTCTCAAAGAGTGTGCTCTACCTGGCAGAAACGAATGTGAGGGAAGGGTTGAGCCTGCTGCACCAGCCGAGCCTTGGCCTCCCGCTTGTCCCCATGGACGATCAGTACGGGACGATCCCTGAGTGAAAATGCAGAGAGAAAATGGCAGAAAGGTCCAGCTGAGCGTCGCCGTCGTTGACGCAATCATTGTGTGACGGGAACTCACCTGAACTCTGGAGGATACTGCTGCACCATCCAGGCAAGGTCGAAGCAGTAGTTAAACTGTGCCGAACAAAAGGTTAAGTGTTATCATTTCTTCAGACTGTAAAAAGCATGGACAGTAATTGCCCCATTATATCAAGGAATACAAGACAAACTGATGGATAACTAGTTTTGGAATTTGAAGTCAATGAAACTATTTCAATCGATTTTTTAAAAATGAGTATGCTAAGAAGAAAATGCTCCATATTATTAAAAGTAGAGACAATTTGTAACTTGGGTACAGATTTTTATCATAAAACATGAAATAGACCCACATGATTTGCTTCATTGATTGAAAGCTCACCTGAACAGACTCTTTTAAGGTGCCAAATAATGGTGAGAGGACGTCTGCAGAAGAAAACGAAGCACAATTAATCATGAGATAAAACATGTAAAAGAAAGCAGAATTGCCTGTTTTAGCCAAGATCGACTTCCAATTACCTCTGATGTGCAGGGCGCCACTGTTGTACTTCCTGTCCAGGCCTGTCACCTTGTTGAGGTAGAACCGAAACATGTCATCTAGGCAGGGAACGCTGGACTCGAAGAAGTCATCGGGTTCGTCAACGTAGTAGACGCGTCCGTGGGGGCTGGGAGGGCGTTCGTCCGCCACTTTCTTGCGTTTGGGACTCGGAGCCTTCCTCACTGGTGGTGGGTTATTCTTCTTTGCAGCATCATCATCATCGTCGCTGTCAGACAGCGCCCAGCCGGAGCCGTCTGACACGTCCAGCTTCCTTTTCCCAGCTAAAGACGGAGATGAGTCATACTTGACGGGGTATGTTTGGTTCTTTGCAGCCTGCTGTCTGGCCTCAGAACCGATTACGAGCGTAGGTATTGGAGATGGTTCCGGTTTCACCTCCACGGAGGTGGCCTCTACTTTGGGGACGGGGGAAGAGAGCGAGCTGTAGTTTGACAAGGACGCTTCAGGGGGCTTGGACAACGTCCTGACTGCAGGAAGCTCATCATCGTCCTCCTCGCTGCTGGAGACGCTCCACTTGCCGTGTTGGCTTGCCTCAGACATATCTGCGCACACACAACTACTACAACCATAAACATATTTTTGGGTTAATTCGTCTCTAATATGATGAGACTTGCAATAAGAACTATGAATATTCAATTATCATAATTTGTAATAAAATAAAAAACACTAAATAATGCATATCTTAAATATAAAATAATAAAGCAAAATATTAAAATATGTTAAGTTATTACAGTAGAGCATTATTAATTATTAAGAAAAAAATCGAATCGGGAAAATAATGTTTACATGCTTTTTTAAAATATATACACTTTTACCCTGTAAAATTAAACTACAGGTGAATTTAAAAATCGAGTAGGCATGGTGTTATAATGTATTTTTTTCCTTTTATTTTTTTGCAAGTTTTCGAAGAGAAAATATGCAAATACAGAACTACGTCTAATCTGGCAATATATACATCGAAAAATAAAGTACAGTGTTCTGGCTGAAATAGTATCCATTCTCAACGCTTTTACTGTTCAGTTTAACCCTTTCCATTGTACATACAGATGTGCAAAGCAGATCGCATAAAATGACTATCAAGGGTGGAAACAGATAGGAGCGGGTGTTGCATTAGCAATAAAATTACATTTATATATATGTTTTACCTTTAAGCCACGCTGCTGGTGTGGATTTAACAACGTAGCGGGTGTAGATATTTCGGAATCAAGAAAACTTCCATTTGTGAGGAGCACAGGGGATAGTAATGTGCCCTTAAAATATATATCCGGGTAGAAACTCTGAATAAGAAACGAGTCAGTGCTTGCACCGGAATTATAAATCCGGGTAGAAACTCGTCAAAAATATTTCTATTTAAAAAGCTTCGGCAGGTGTGAGAAAACGTGCTCAAATGTCACGTTTATTTTTTTTAAAGGAAAAATACGCCAGGTCATTCGGAGATGAGGTTAAATAATTAGACATGCCACTCCAAACTGCCACCTTCAGAAGTTCATTGTTTACTTCTTTGAGTCACAAAATGACTAAATTCTCCTTCGTTGTGAATGAACTGTTTCTTTTTTGTACTTTTGCAACTCCGGTATTTCCCTATTGTGATCAATAACACATTTTATCTGGATTGCCGGATGATCAGTTCATTGTGTAATTCTCTACCAAAATCAACTGGGATAGACTCCAGCTCATGCATGGATTTTAGATTGTAATTTTTATGCTTCTGAATATTTTCCACTCTAGTTGTAATAATATATATTTTAAGATAGCTAAAACAATACTGTGTAATATTCATTGCGAATCGAATTAGAAATAATTAACCAATTAATCATATCAATCCATTCATTTTCTATGGATTATTCTTATTAGGGTCGAATTAGTTTACAATGAACCCGCCATGCATGTTTTTGGAACGTGGGAGCACCTTGGAGAACCTGGAAGGACCCCACTTAAACACAGGAGATGATGCAAACTTCATTCAAGAGGGCCAGACCTGGATTCGCACCCCTACCTCAGAACGGTGAGGCGAATATGATACCAACTGCCACTGATCTATTGTACTGCTGTTTCAATAGATCAATGAATTTAATATATTGATATACATAGATAGACAAAACATTTTTAGGGTAAAACCCGTCAAATTAATCAAATGTCTGTTGAATGATAATCTCAACGCTCAAAACTGCCAACAGTTTGCCACTGCAGGAGTGCCTGCAAATCACTTTCTACCGCCAAGTGGCAGTAGTGAGCCATGTGGTAGTCACACCAAAGCACGAAGAAGCACGCTCGTCGTCTCCACTCTCCTCTTGCGGTAGAGTGTGGCGAGCTAGTCGGGTTTACATTAACTGTCATCAGTTTTGATAGTCGTAGGCTCTTTTCGTACACGGAGAGAAGGCTATTATCGCACACCATGGCGTTAAACCTGATCATCAACACTAGCAACCCGCCTTTGGGTGAGTTGCCACTTATGGTTGAATTTTTAATGAATAATTGGTACCAGTAACCGCTGGCGAGCCTGCTAACTTGCTATTAGCACGGTTACGTGTCCATCAGTGGGATCAAAACACATACTCATTAGTGGCCATTTAGCCTCTTTTGTACTCGGATATATTTAATTTTATTATTTGTTTGTGGGGGGAAAAAACTCGCGTCAGCTGTTTGGAAAGCTATTGCACCATCTTAGCAAATAAAAACTGGTAAAATCATCACGATTTGGAATGGAATAGTGTGCGCTGCCTGTGCAAACACTATTACGTCAACAAAATGAATGAACACAACTATAACGCCGTTCTTGGTATGAACTGAAGTCACTTATGTGCTTTAGCATCCTTGAATGGGGCGTGTACGTCAACCAGTTGATGATCCTGTAGTCGTGGCACTCAAAATTTAAGTGACAAAACCGCTGAATGAATAATAGTCGCTACTTTTGACCGAAAAGCTCAAATTTTCGACTTAAATTACGGTTACATCTACGCACGTTGTTTCTCCATTCGAAAAAACAATTGTAACGTGAAATGAACTTGGAAGTTACGTGAATGTTTCACTTGTGTTGCATCAGCCTGTAAATTAACCCGGAGCGCAAACAATTGATATTGATGGGTTTAACGAAATTACCGGAAACATGTTCAATTGCACTAAATTAATACAAAATTTATATACGGTCAATTAAGAAGAGCATTAAGAGCCCTTAACTTTAAAAGCGTCTTCTCAGCTTTAACAGCGGCTAAACAGCGACACGCAGCTGAGTGAGTATTACATGCTGATGCAAGACCACAACATTCGGGTTGATGGACGCATAAGTGGGTGTAAGTGCCAAAGACGCGTCTGTTTCGAAACTCAGAAAACGCAACTGTGACGTCATAATTACAAATAACAAATAATTATAATTATCGGAAAAATACTGGTAAGTTGTATATGTAAAACACTCAAATGTAAACCAGCAAGTGTCATGCAAAGCCACTCGCTCCCACTTGGATGCTACTGCGCCATCAATGCGCAAGACTACAGTCAACTACAGTACTTCTGATATAGAGAGACGATTTTAAATGATTTAACTCCTCCTTCACCCTGAAAAATACACTTAACCTTATAAAAACACACATTTTAAAGTATTCCTTGCCACCACTTCTCACATTCTCATTGTCAAGAGTGCCTGAGAAGAATCATTGGTTGTTTCTTATTGAGATCATACTGTCTCTTCAGGAGCCCTCCTGACCGCCGAGCATGTGAAAGGAAGCGTGCAGCTGTCAGTGGAGGAAGGCAAGGACACCCGCCTTCACATCTCTGAGTAAGCACGACAACGTGTGTAACCAGCACTTTCCATGTAAGAGTTTAAAAGTTGTTTCTTGTCGTCTCTGCAGTGCCATCCAATTCAGTGACGCAAACTCCATCAGCCGATACTTGGCGCGGGTGGCGCCGGCTTTGGGCCTCTATGGAGCCAACCTGATGGAGCAGACTGAGGTATGTGATTGCTTGCAAAATTCTGTCAATTTTCAAAGTTGAAAACTGGCCGTGGAAATTAACAGGAATTATGGGAATAAACCGTAAGAAACCAGTGAGTTCATGAAATTGAAGGTTGGCTCTTTATTGGGGAATTGAAATACTGGGAGCAAATATGTTTGAGCATAAATCTGATTTAAACAACCAGATTTCATGCAATTTCAGTAATACAACGTAAAACAGAGTATGCCCCAATATAATGCAACACCATATGTTCCTGCACACTGGGAAACCCCCATTTCGTGTGTTAAAATTTAGACTTAAACACGTCTTTGGCTTTTTCCTGTGGCTTCATGAAGCGTTGCGTTTGGCATTTGTAGGTGGATCACTGGCTGGAATTCAGCAGTCGGCGTCTTTGCGGCCAGCCCGATTTGGGTGCGTCTCTGACTGAGCTGAACAAGGCCCTGTCGCTGAGAACCTTCCTGGTGGGCCACACCCTCACCCTGGCAGATGTGTCCGTTTGGGCCGCCCTCAAAGGTGAGCGCCTTTAAAAAAAACACAGTCCTGATAAGTTTATTTTTTTAAATGTATTGTAAATTGTTATGGTTTGTCTTCTGAAGGTCACTGTGACTGGCCCAACAAGGGCAAAGACTTCAGCCACGTCAATCGCTGGTTCTCCTTCCTGAGTTCTCAGGTCCCCTTCACTGCCTTGGACAACAAATACACCAGCAAGAAAGCTCCACCAACCAAGTCCAATGTAAGCCACACATTGGAAATAGGTGCCATATGCTGCTTAGTGTTTTTTTTTCCATAATGAATTATGTAAGTCAGAAATGAATGTTAGTCTCATTGTCATGAAATACAATCGACCCACACATACTCTCAGTTCGGCATGCGCAGATTCACATATTCTTTTTTTTTTTCAATATATTTTTAGATTTTTCAACAATTATGGATTTTGTTTTGTTTGTATTCATTCTTTTGTGATGGATTTCTCATATGTTTGTCAGTCGGAGGGAAAGGATAAGAAGGCCGACGTTGGAAAGTTTGTGGACTTGCCTCAAGCTGAGATGGGCAAGGTGGTTGTTCGATTCCCTCCTGAAGCTAGCGGGTGAGACTCGCCCCCGGCGTGCAAAATGCAAAATGTTGTCATCAAATTTTCACATTTTGTCTTTGCTTTCAGGTATTTGCACATAGGCCACGCTAAGGCCGCTTTGCTCAACCAGCACTACCAGGTCACCTTTAAGGGCCAGCTTATCATGCGCTTTGACGACACCAACCCGGAGAAGGAGAAGGAGGACTTTGAAAAGGTGAGAATTGACCAGTGTCACGTTTTGACAGTGTGTGACGTGACTCTGCATCCCCTTAGGTGATCCTGGAGGACGTGGCCATGCTGCAGATCAAACCGGACCAGTTCACCTATACCAGCGACCACTTCAATGTCATCATGCAGCTGGCTGAGCAGCTGATGGCGGAGGGCAAAGCCTACATAGATGATACGCCTCCTGAGCAAATGAAGCTGGAGCGGGAGCAACGTACAGAGTCCAAGTGCAGGAATAACAGTGCGTATCAAACACAACACTCCTTTTGCACCACAATGTCACTTTTTGCCACCCATGAATTCTCTATCTGCGATTGTATTTCCATTCATCCAATCAAGGCAAGCAGTCGCTTCCAGGCAAGCTGCCAGGCTATATATTTATTTACTATACTCTTATTTATAAATCACTGGTACGGAATACGTTAAGGAAAAATATTTAAATCACCACGTGTATTTAAAAACTTTTTTTATCTTAATTAAAAAATACATTTTTATATTGTTGATTGGAACCAAAATATATATTATTAAGAAAAGAGGCAGTCCCACTAAAATAGGACTGGTTTTTTTTTTCAGCTTTGGATCAGAACATGAAGCTATGGGCGGAGATGAAAGCCGGCACAGAGCGTGGTCAGATGTGCTGTATGAGAGCCAAGATTGACATGAACTCCAACAACGGTTGCATGCGAGACCCCACGGTGTACCGCTGCAAGAACGCCCCCCACCCTCGCACAGGAAACACCTACAAGTACTCAAAATAAAACAGTTTTGCAGTTTTATGCGGGCTAATATTTACAGCCGGATGACCTTGCCTTCGTTCTCTTCCAGAGTCTATCCGACATACGACTTCGCCTGCCCTATCGTGGACAGCAGAGAGAATGTGACGCACGCCCTGAGGACCACCGAATACCACGACCGTGACGAGCAGTACTATTGGTTCATCGACGCGCTGCGCCTCAGGAAGCCGTACATCTGGGAGTATTCCCGCCTCAACCTTAACAACACAGTGCTGTCCAAGCGCAAGCTCACGTGGTTTGTGGAGGAGGGATACGTCGATGGATGGTAAGGTTGGGCTTCTTTCCTAACTCTGCCTTGTACAATGCACAAGTTAATGTCAGGGCGACTCTTCCTCAGGGATGACCCCCGCTTCCCCACAGTCAGAGGGGTGCTGAGGAGAGGCATGACCGTGGAGGGCCTGAAACAGTTCATAGCAGCGCAGGTATGTTCATTCCATCGGTGCTGTTCTCCTGAAAAGCCTCATTCTGGCAAATACATTACTGGCCAAATTGGTCATTTATGGGTTTTGAGACGAAGCCATGCCGCGATTCGCATAAGCAATTGACACCCCCACTAAAAATGTTTAGAATTGTCCATAGCAATAATTTCCCCTTTAATATAATTTCAGATGCACGTTTCGATATTTACCTTAAATATAGCTAACAGATTATTTGATTTTGTAAACATGCACCAGAAGTATGTACATGCACCTGAGACAAAGACTTTCCGTAACTTCCACTAACAACCCGGTTTAAAGCTAGCTCCTCCCTGACATACAAAGCGTTTGTCAGTGGAGATGTATCACTTCAACATACTTCCTTGACACAAAACTGTACCATTTTCCTATTTGGACTGGCCCTTGTTGCATCTTGTGGCAACTTTCACCAAGGCCAAACAATCCTAAACGTCAGTTTAAACGTGTTGGATTAAATGCCAAGTCTGTTGATGCTTCTCCACTCTAGTTTTCTCGTAACACATACAAGCTGCATAGTAGATGTCCACTCAAATGCCTTGAGATAAATAAGAAATGGCATTATTTTTTAAAAGGTCGGAAAATGCATTTACTTGTCATATTTCTAACTGGACACTAAGCAACTCTTTCCATTTGCAGGGTGGATCCAGGTCAGTGGTGAACATGGAGTGGGACAAGATCTGGGCCTTTAATAAGAAGGTACGGCTTCCCTTCTTGTCTTGCACCATTACACAAAGAATGAGAGAAAACTGGAAACGGCACAAGGTGCTTTTATTTCAAGTTGCCAAACCAGAGTAAATGGGGGCTCATGTTGAAACTCTTCGTCACACAGCTAGTTATGGCTTCATCCCGTCATAAACACCCCCTACCCCTTAACTCAATAAGGCGAGGACCTTTTCCCCTAGCATCCAACAAGGCGTACCCTCTCGTTTCTCACATTTACAACCCCCCCCCGCCCCCACCCCCACCACCCCATCCCAACCCCTCATTTGTTTGCTACATGTTTTTTTCTTGGCTGGCTGCTTCACACGTAAATCCAGTATGTTGAAGTAATAGCCTACTCAAGAGGTGCAGTAAACTGTATATCTTTGTGTGTTTTTCAGCTAGTGTCATGTTAAGACCCATAAGTAGCACTTAAGCAAAAATAACTCCACGTTTATAAAAAAAAAAAAAAATGAAGCGGAAATCACGAGAGACGGTTGATTGAGCTCCTCAATGAGCTATTAAATTAATCGTAAATGATAACAAAAGAGCATGATTATTTTAAAAGATACAATTTTTGATATGTTACATGCACGCTGTAACTTCATCTATGAATTGAATGAGCTGTCTGAAAAATCAAATCTGGCCATTGCGCACCAAAGTTTTCTACCGTTGTTTTGGATGAGGATGGTCAAAACTCGAGAATGAAATTGTACTACTTTTGGGAGGGTTTAACTTTGGAGTTTGCACTACCTTTTTCCAACTGTACTTGTGTGTGCATATGTGACGGCATCTCCTCACTCTTATGTGTTTCCAAGCTGCCTGTTAGCTGCGTGAAGGTACTCCTCCTCTCTGCCACATCCTCCCCGCCCAACACCCTCCTTCCGTCATTCTGTTTTAGGCTTAGCCGCCATTTACTGTGGGTGAGATGCAAGAAGGCGACCTCATGCTGTTTAAAGAGCTTGGAACGAATTAAGTTGCTAAAATGGAATGTGGACTGAACAAGCAGCTGTTTTTTGTCTGTTTGTTTGTTTATTTGTTTTTAAACCAGCATGGCGCAGTGATTCACTCATTACGTCTGTTGCCCCCCCCCCCCACTCCCCTCTAATATCTCTCCTTAAGGATAATTTATTTATTTATTTATTTTTATGATGTTTAACGTTTCAATCATTGTGTGGATGTGTTAGGTGATTGACCCAGTGGCGCCCAGATACACGGCTCTCTCCAGCTCGTATGTGGTTCCCGTTTCTGTCCCAGAGGCTGCGGAGGAAGTGAAAGAAGTGGCCAAACATCCAAAGGTGTGCAGTTGTTACACACACACACATACACACACACACACACATGCTAGTGTGTGCCGTGGCTGAGTCTCATTGTTTCCCGTAGAATGCCGAGGTGGGCATGAAGCAGGTGTGGTACGGACCCCGAGTGTTGGTAGAAGGAGCGGATGCCGAGACGTTCACGGAGGGTGAGGTGGTCACCTTCATTAACTGGGGCAACCTCATCATCACCAAGATCAACAAGTACGCACCTTAATTAGTCGTCTCATACTGGATTGTGTACATACATGCAGAACGGCGCTAGCTTGGCTATGTTTGTGGCTCGGTTTACTTGTACTGTACCTCAAATCGATTGTGCACCATTTTTGTTCTCAATCAGTCGAGCGGCAGCAAAATATCTAAGATCAAATTTTGGCTCAAAACACAAATCAAATAATTCGACTTGGTATATGTGATTCGAGCCACCACAAAGGCATGCTTCTATTTGAGGTGCATTGTTTATTTGTTCAAGTACCCTGTTTAAGTGGGAATTATGCTCATGGATCCCCCCACTCCTCCCTTTCTACTCAGAGGGGCTGACGGTAAGATCCAGTCCATGGAGGCACGGCTAGACCTGGACAACAAAGACTACAAGAAGACTACTAAGATCACCTGGCTAACGGAGTGCGCCGGCACCCCTCTCCTGCCCACCATCTGCGTCAACTACCAGCCCCTCATCACCAAAGCGGTCATCACCAAGGACGACAACTTCAAGGATTACATTAACAAAGACAGCAAGGTGACCGTTGGTTCGAATGATCTGAGTGGACGCGGGCTTTACAGTGGACTTATTATTGACATGACTGCGTGGATGTCTAAGATTGAGGAGAAAATGCTCGGCGACCCCTGTCTGAAGTCTCTGAAGAAAGGTGACATCATTCAACTCCAGAGGCGGGGATTCTACATCTGTGACCAGCCCTACGAGCCAGTCAGGTAAGCGGGAGGAGGAAGATGATTTTAAAGGGACACTGGCCAAATTAACATGTAAGGCTCGATTTGTAGAAGTAAAGCACAGAAAATTTTATAAAATTGTTTCAACATATTTTCAAAATTATCCAAACAAAAAATATGAACCTTTCACTCCTGTTGCGAAAAAAAAAATCAACATGAAAAAAAATATCCCTTCAGGTTTTACAGCAAAATCCCAAAGTAGTTGAATGACAATTGTGACTTTCTTCTGCAGTCCTAACAGCTGCAAGGAGAGTCCGTGTGTCCTCATCTACATTCCTGATGGTCATGTCAAGGAGATGCCCACTGCCGGGTCCAAAGACAAAGACAAGGACAAGGGCAAGAGCCAGGCACCCGCCAACACAGTGAGCATCCCTTTTGTTCTCGTTTTTCCATTCGACCCTGCGGGTTGAACAAATGTTGGGTCCTGACCTTTCTTCTTAGCAGGCTTCTGCCAAAGCGTCGCCAGCTGCCCCTGCAGCTGCTGCCCCTGCAGCCACCTCCTCTGTCAGAGTTAGTGAGCTCTTCTCGAGCATCGTCGCGCAGGGTGAAGCTGTCCGCCAGCTGAAGACTGCCAAAGCACCCAAAGAGGAAGTGGACAAGGCGGTGAAGCAGCTTCTTACCCTGAAGGTGGAGCTTTCATCATAGACTGAACCTTTGCTATTCTTGTGCCTTAGGAACCAGGTCCCAATGAGAATAGCAAACATTTGCAAATGTGTAAAATGTAGGAGTGAATAGGGGGGAACAGCTTTATTAATGTTTATCAGCTCCCAAAACTTGGGCTTTTTCTTGATGGTTTTACTGTAAATCATAAAATCTTATTCATGATGATTCACTGAGTCTCGTCCTGACTTTTTTTTTTCTAGGCTCAATTTAAGGAGCAGACAGGAATGGACTACAAGCCGGGTATGTCTCCCCCTGCCTCCGTCCCAGCTCCAGTTTCCTCGTCAGGAGACTCCGCCCTCTGCCCGTATACACGCGTCTCTCAGCAGGGCGAGCTTGTCAGGAAACTGAAGGCAGAGCAGGCACCGAAGGTAACTGGCCACAATGTTTTTAACAGTGGAACCTCCAACAAAAGAACAACACCTGTTTTCAAGTTGCTCTCATTTCAAAACATGAAAGTTAACGTCATCATGAAATCTTTGACTGTGTGAGGAGAAGTACATTATCTGTGTGTATTTGTTCCACTCATGTCTGCCCACTCCGACTATAGAAGCTCACTGAGCTAAAGTCTCACACAATGATGGTTCAGCGCCGTTTTGTTTGATGTGAGAGGATTTTTCTTTTTGTTAATTGAGAAAATGGTCATTAAACTCCACAAACTGTACCTCTTTTTGCCTGTTCAATTTGGGAGGTTCCGCTGTATTTACTTGAGACGTCCATCCATCCCTTCATTGGCGCTTGTCAGTACTATAGTTGTGTTCATCTTGTTCCTTATCTGTCCGTCAAGTTCATCCTCCCACTGTCACTTGTCTCATCTTTGGCCGCTGATGTAATCATGTCGTTTCACTCACCGCCGTCTCAGCATCATCACTCGCATGGCTTTCACATTTAGTTCTTCAGTCGCAAGCTAATGTAATTGATGGTACCAGGACCGGATCGACGAGGCGGTCAAGCAGCTCCTGACGCTCAAGGCCGAGTTTAAAAAGTTGACGGGTCAGGATTACAAACCTGGGATGATCTTGGCTACTGGTTCCACCGCTCCTTCATCAGCTGTGACCGCCTCTTCCTCCTCCCGCTCCTCTTCCTCCTCCTCCTCCTCTTCCTCTTCTTCTGCTTCATCCGTCTTGTACGAGCGTGTCGCACAGCAGGGAGAGCTCGTGCGGAAACTCAAGTCGCAAAAAGCACCCAAGGTATACACATGATTGTTAAAATGAGTGGAAAACTGACATTTCAGCTTACTCTGATGAGTTCCAAATGTCATTTAGGGTTCTATGCCAAGGTCAGTATTTAAGATGAAGAATTCAAACCAAAATAAGGGTTTCAAGTTAGAGATTCAAATCTGAGTTTGGGCTTCAGTTATGATTTAAGGGTTCATGTTTCAAACAAGCTTTGAGGTTTAGATTTTGGGTTTTAAGGCAAGTCTCGGTTTTTAAAGGAAGGACTTAATCCACCTTCCACTCAACAGTCTCATGATTCGGTATTTTCTCTACTCATTTAGGACCAAGTGGACGATGCGGTCAAGCAACTGCTTGCCCTGAAGGCCGAGTACAAGCAGGCCACCGGCGAGGAGTACAAACCAGGGGCGGCGCCGGCCCAGAAAGCGCCAACTCCAGTTCAGAGCGACGTTGCGTCTGCCGCTGGCCTTTTTGAGAAGGTGGCCCAGCAGGGAGAATTGGTCAGGACACTGAAGGCCGAAAAGGCCTCCAAGGTGAGCCCAAACGGTGTGGAAGTAAGCGAGTGTACCTGGAGGAAACTCACACTAGAACATGAAGGACAGACCACAAGCTCGAACTGTGTCAATTACCTGTTGTCGTCCCCCCCCCCCACGACCCTTTGTAGAAATTCTTGATCTTGTTAAAATGGGAACTATTTTGTGAAGAAAGCCACACATCACGGAGGTTTTCTGTTTCAGGATCAAGTGGACGAAGCCGTGAAGACATTGCTGGACCTGAAGAGCAAATACAAAACGCTCACCGGGCAGGAGTACAAACCGGTGGCGGCAGCTGGTGGTGAGGACAAGAACCGCAAGGAGAGGGAGAACAAGTCTGAGAAGCAGGGAGGAGGAGGAGGCGGCGCAGGAGGCGCCAAGAAGGGGAAAGGAGACAAGGCAAGTCAGGGGAAGGATCCGGCCGGAGGAGCTGGAGGAGCGGGAGACGGTCAAGGACCCAAGAAGCAAACGCGGTGAGAGCTTCGAGCTTGTGCAGGGGACAGGCAAGGGGTGGCCAACGTTTTGCCGTTCTGTCCTCATATCCGGCCCACAGAGCATTTATTTTGTCAACTGTCGTGTAATATTTTTTTTCTCTTCCTAAAATGAGTTTACTAAAGTATATCCGGCCCACAGAGCATTTATTTTGCCAACTGTCCTGTAATATTTTTTTCTCTTCCTAAAATGAGTTTACTAAAGTATAGCTTCATTTTTATATATTTTTTCATTTAAAATTAGTTAATTGATTATAAATAATGAAAAATTATTGTTTAAAAAGCATTCAAATGTAACATTTAATGTTTTGCGCTTCATTTTTTTTCTTCATTTAAAATTGTTTAATTGATTATAAATAATGAAAAATTATTTTAAAAAGCATTCAAATGTAACATTTAATGTTTTGTCTTATTAAATTAGTTAATAAAAAGAATGTTTTTAGCCTCATTTGAAATGTTTTAAAAAGCAAATGTGGCCGATGCGCACATGTTCATGGGTGCTCACTTTTTTTTCTTCAGAACCCGGGCTTCCGAAAGCCAAACTCAATGCAGTAGGGAGGGGCGACGTGAGCATTGGCTCATTTGCATTCAGAGTGCAGCACACCCTTAAAACAGGTTGAGTTCAGCAAGGCAAAAATCAGGACTGAGTAATTCAACGAAATTCTTGTTTCTTGGCGTATTTTGACAAAAAGAATGGATGAAGACACTGTGGACATGTATTAAAATATGTAAGGAGGTGCATGATATGTCTCGTTTAAATTGTGTAATACTTTCATGGAGTGGAAAGTAGTCCTCTAAATTTGCTCTCGGAAAAAAAAAAAAGGTTTTTTTCCCTTCCGAACCCTTCTAATTTAAATCTGCCTTCATTCTTTTCAGTTTGGGACTAGAAGCTAAGAAAGAGGAGAACCTGGCAGACTGGTACTCTCAGGTACATTCTAATATGTTCACTGACCACAGCATTAGGTACACATTTAGCAACATAGTTCTGATGGCATTCAATGCCCGTGTGTACATTTTCCTTGACCAGGTGATCACCAAGGCGGAGATGATTGAATACTACGACGTGAGCGGTTGCTATGTGCTGCGCCCGTGGTCCTTTGCCATCTGGGAGGCCATCAAGGACTTCTTTGACCGTGAAATCAAGAAGCTGGGTGTGGAGAACTGCTACTTCCCCATGTTCGTCTCACAGGCGGCCCTGGAGAAAGAGAAGACGCACATTGAGGACTTTGCTCCAGAGGTACACGAGCACGACAATAAAATCAGAAGCTTACGCATCGATGAACAACTCCAGCGTTGTTGTCAATCACTTGCCTTGTTTTGCAGGTTGCCTGGGTAACGCGCTCAGGGAAGACAGAGCTGGCAGAACCCATTGCCGTCAGACCCACCAGCGAGACAGGTCAGACAGACATCCAATACACATTTTTCTGTATACATGCCATTTAGCTCGCTTTTCCGCCAATGTCAAACCTTTCCGGAATATAAAGTTTTCGTGTAGATTTATGTCAATAAGTAACGCTAGCCATCTTTACTGCAACACACTGCCTGCACTGACTAAAGTTTACGAAAAGCTGAAGGAATTCAAGGAGCAGCTAAGTATAGTTTTGTTGTGTTTTTCTCCCCTCTCGTGGCTTTTTCAGATATCCGTTTGGCTAAAATGGGCTTATTTTTTTCCGCACGCCTGCCAGGGTACTTTTTTTTTTAAACAATACCTATGAAATAAGAACTACAAATTCCATGCTTTTGTGTTTCAGTGATGTATCCAGCCTATGCCAAATGGGTCCAGTCCCATCGAGATCTGCCAATCAAGCTCAACCAGTGGTGTAACGTCGTGGTCAGTCGACAAATTTCCAGTGCTGTACTCTTGGTCTATTGAAGTTAGGCAGTGTGAAATCTCACCTCTTTACCCTTCTCTCGTCTCCCAGAGATGGGAGTTCAAACACCCCCAGCCCTTCCTGAGGACTCGTGAGTTCTTGTGGCAGGAAGGCCACACCGCCTTTGCTACCAAAGAGGAGGCCGCTAAAGAGGTAACCAGGCTTGGCTTATAGATCTGCCGTTGGAGGTTCTTTCAGAAATTATTCCCCGTAGTGCTAGGCGGTTTGTATATTTTATTGATTAATTTGAATGTATTTTTTGGGGGGGGGGTTCGAATGGGGCCACCATTCTGAACAGCGTTCCTCCCTTTCTGTATTCCATCCTTTATTAACCACAAAGTAGCCACAAAAAAGTATTTACCGGGACTTTCGCACAACAAAATGATGCGCTGGGCCGTATTTTGATGACCAAAAGGCGCACTTAAAAGTCTTAAATTTTCTTGTGTTTGTGTTAGATACATAAGTAGCACCCGTAACTGCCACTGCACCCTTTAATACGGTGCGCCATATGGTCGTGAAAAAACGGTAATGACATACTGTACATGGAAAAAGCTGTTAAAAGCATTTGAGATATTTTACATGAGCATTGCACTTGATAGGTCATTTAAATTATCCTTAAAGAGTAGATTTTGGTGGCATTGTTTCGTTAATCGTCTGAACAGACAGCATCACCTTGGACTGTTTTCCACTTGGCTTTGTTAGGTGCTTCAGATCCTGGACCTGTACGCCAGAGTGTATGAGGAGCTGATGGCCATCCCGGTGGTGAAAGGCAGGAAGACTGAGAAGGAGAAGTTTGCAGGAGGCGATTACACCACCACCGTGGAGGCCTTCATCTCCGCCAGTGGCCGAGCCATCCAAGTACACGATCATCCCAACGGGAGCGTGACGGGTCGTTGTCTGAACTGGCTTGCTAACTTTGTGTTTGCCGCTTGCTGCAGGGCGCCACATCCCACCATCTCGGTCAGAACTTTTCGAGAATGTTCGAGATCACGTTCGAAGACCCAAAGAAGCCTGGCGAGAAGCAGCTGGCCTTCCAAAACTCTTGGGGCCTTACGACCAGGACCATCGGCGTCCTCACCATGGTGCACGGAGACAACAGGGGGCTGGTGCTGCCACCCAGAGTGGCCTGCCTTCAGGTAGACGCGCTACACTGTACTTCATCTTCAACTGAAGTCACTTCGATGTAAGAAGGCGTTTGTTCTAAAAGCTCATAAGATATGTTAAATCTACAATGTTGCAACACTGTTCAACTGCGATTTCAATTCCAAAATTCTGCACAACCAGTGGCTGATGGCCAGCCACTCATGAAAAAGAGTTGCAGGACCCCGCACACCGCGCGACAGTTAAGTGGCATTCAGCCGCGTCGCTCGATTTGCAATGGGCCTAAGGCTGCAATAAATCCACGGTGGAAACGTTTGACATGAGGCATGTGTTATACAACTATATTGCATTTTAAGCCCATATGGCTTTCAATGGATGTCCTCCCCCTCGTTGCTCAGGTTGTCATCATTCCATGCGGAATCACGGCATCGCTGGCAGAGCAGGAAAAGGACGCGCTGATGAACCAGTGCGACACTTACGTCAACAGGCTGCAAGCCGCCGACATCAGAGTAAAGAGCGACATCCGGGACAACTACTCACCAGGATGGAAGTTCAACCACTGGGAGCTTAAGGTAGAAAATCACCACTTGAACAGAACCCATTCATTGCAAATTGGTAAAATTGATTTGTTCCGCCAGGGCGTTCCCATCCGTCTGGAAGTGGGCCCGAAGGACATGCAGCAGCGCCAATGCGTCGCTGTAAGGAGAGACACCGGCGAGAAAGTAACCATCCCCGAGGCCGAGGTGGAGAAGAAACTGGCTGCCATGTTGGAGGACATTCAGAGCTGCTTGTTCGCTAAGTAAGATGTACTTGTACATTGGTCGAACATTGACACTCACTTGCTTCTACACCGAGCAGTATTTACTGGCCTGTTTGGTGATAATTTGAGAAGGGCCTTAGAATAAATAAAAAAAATAAATAAAATTGAATTTTAATTGTTGCTAGAGGAGCTGGATAGGTCACTAAACATCATGACCTAACCAACCTCTCTCTGTTAACACCCATGCAACGGTGGCCCAGAGCAGCATATAAACCGATGTTCAGTGATTACAAATGAACATAAATCCTCAATATATTTTGTGTCTTTTTTGTGTTTTATTTTTTTTTAACAGAGCGTCAAATGACCTGAAGAGTCACTTGGTGGCTGCAGACACGATGGAGCAATTCCAGAAGGAACTGGACTCCGGCAAGGTGAGGAGCAAGCACCACCCCACCCAGAGGGAGTCCCTGTCCTCAGTCACACGAGTTATTAACAAAGTGCACACACATTCCCATTTTTAATGTGTGTACTTGTGTTTTTTTACTCAGTCTTGTGTTATGCAAAATGAGCAACACAAAACTGAGAAAACCACTGATAAAGATTTTCCTGAGCCTGAGCCTTTATCCTGTGGTTTGGGGAGTCTTGAGAGTCAGCCGACATTCAGGCCTTGGTCAATGAGGGAGGGGAAAGATTGTATGTAACCTCTTTATCACATCTCGTTCCATATGGCAGATTGTCCAGATCCCGTTCTGTGGTGGCATGGAGTGCGAAGACTGGATCAAGAAAACCACTGCCAAGTATGTCAACGTGTTTTCTCTCTCTCTCTCCTCCTTTTGCCGTTTAGGAGTGCTAATAGTTATTTTTTTTTTTGTATCAGGGATCAGGACCTGGAGCCAGGAGCGCCATCCATGGGTGCCAAGAGTCTGTGCATCCCCTTCTCACCACTCAAGACGCTGCAGCCCGGTCAGCTGTGTGTCTGCGGCAAGGCACCAGCTCAGTACTACACCATGTTTGGACGTAGCTATTGAAGATGCCGTTGTTGTAGCAGTAAAGGGCTCTTTATTCACTTCCTTTCATCTACTCCTTTTTGTATTGTATCTCCCGTGGGTAGGTTTTCAATGGCACTTGTATTCTTACATCGCTTAGGTATGTTTTTTTTTTCTTTTTTAATGAAAATCATGTTATTGGACAAAAGGGTGAGAGAAACCATGAAACCATTAAAACTCAATCACATGTGAGAGAAAATATTCTCCGCCAAATGAAATGGTGAATAATGAATAAATACTGCCATATTCATCATGGGAAAACAGTCATGTCATAAACTCCACCTCTCTCAGGTAATCTTAATTTTGGATTTTTTTTTCCATCCAGCTCCTTTCTGCGTTGGTTTGCAGTTAAAAAAAAAACATCGATCTGCAGCAGCTCAATTATGATGTACAGTTGACTGTGTTACTTTAAAAGCCAGCTGTGTATCCTCTGGAGTCACAATTTAAACAACTTGGCGAGATAATAAACTTATTTCTGTGGCATTTTTCTTGTTCTTGTTATTTTTTAGTGTGCACCAAGTTTCACAAGTTTAGCTGGACTTTAACACAAAATGGTTATTTGAAAAAAGGGTTGGCACGTGGCTGATTTACCTACACACGCGCACAGAACTGATCTTGTCAAACTTTTGACTACGTATATTATGTAAACGTCATTACGAGTCATGTCTTTTTTAAATGAGAACACTTGACACTGCTTTCAAGGCGTAAAGTATTGAGTTTTGCTGTGGAATATGTCTGAACAAATTTATGCCTTTTCTTACTGTAAATATTGCGTTATAATATACAGTATATTAATAATACATTAAATGCATTTCACAAAACGAATGCTTTTATTGCTGCGGGTCTTTGGGGGCGGGGCTATGATGCCGAACCAGGAAACAATCAGAGTCGAGCTTGACTTCTTCACCTCGATACCTCCACCCCAGCCGAAGGCTACCGACTCGAGGCCGAGTGTCGACGATCACTGACGAACTAAATTTAACATGACACCCAGGTACTAAGGTAAATTCCCCGAGACAAAATGAGCGACAGAGGTCTATCGGACGAGTTGGTGGCCGCGGCGTGTAAAGATGGAGACCCCATTACCAAGGTAAATATGGTTGTTTTCGCCGTTTTGACGCGGGAGTTAAGTTTTCTCGTCTGTCAAACCCTCAGACTTGGGGTCGGCCATACCCCATTTCTCGGTGACAGGATGCCTGCGTCCATTATCGGACACGGCCAATTTTGTCACGTGCATGTCACACAGAATCGTTCTTTTTTTAAATAAAAATGCCATTTATTTGTGTAGGGTTGTGACGATCGTGTTTTGTTTAGTAGTACAAAAATGGTCAATATTTTGATAAGAAGGCAGGCAAGTGGGAGTTAGCATTACGAAGCTAACTTAAGTGACAGGCCAGCTAGCCTAGCACTCGTTAGACTTAAGAAGAGAATAACTTCGAAGTATTCACGAAACTCTCAACATCCGCGGTACAATTTTTACACATTAATAAAATGATCACAATTCCACAGTTTCCGTAAAAATAAGTCCCATTTAACGAATTCATTCAAGTCATCCTTCCATTTTCCAACAACAACAATTCAAACTTAAAATTGCTCTGCTCTTTAGGAAGTTTACGATCAACAGTTGCCTTGCTGTCCTTTTATTTACTGAGCAGTTTTCACTTTGGGACTCTTTTGAAAAGTGTAAACGTTTTTGAATTCCATTTTACTCGGACGGTTGCGTACCTAATTTTAACACATTGACCTCTTTCCACCTTTCTCATCCAGTTCAAACCATTCTCAACTCATTCTGTTCCGCTCAATCAGGAATCGAGTCATTTTGTTATATATATATTTTTTTACTTGTGACGAGTAAAGACAAAGTTGAAATTCCCACATTTGTTTCAGTGTTGCACATTGTAACAATAATTCCCCTCCCTAATGGAGCCATTCTTCAGAAATTAGTCTCTCTCTGTTTTACTTTACTGCACTATTTTTACGACCAATTTTGCTGCTGTAGACTGCAAATTTCCCCAGTGTGGGACAAATAATGGTAATCTTATCTTACACACATGCCGAACAACGAATACTTGTCATTTAAATGTACGTTCAAGAAGATTGTTAGATTCGTTTGGCTTTTCCCCCCCTTTGCCCCTCTCGGTCTGACACGAGAGAAAGTTGGCCCTGTCTGGTGCCATTCATTCCGACTGACGGGAAAGTGTTCAGCATTCGAGTGTGAGCTCTGGATGCTTCAATTTTGAACCTACATACACACTGTCTTGAAACGCTCCTCTTCTAAGTCGCTCACATTTACACCCTCGCTTGAAATTATAAATAAAATGTAAATATGTACTCCTTGTGACACAAATCACCTATCATGCCTTGATTTTTTTTCTCTTTCTTTTTTAGAAGCTGACAATTTTATTTCTGTAACATTGACTTCTTCTTGTAATACAACCGCTGTCTTCTTATAAACCTTTCACTTTTTTTTCTCCAGTAAAAGTATTCTTACTCTTACTTCTGGAATTATTATTATTTTTTTTGTCCAATCACGTCACCTCTGACAACACCTAAAAAAAAAAAAATCTACGTATGTAGTCGGCATGATTTTGGCAGCATTCTGACTTTGTCCATGATTCTTATAAGATTCTGACACTGTTCTCATGACATCATTCTGGCAAGTTGGAGCAGTGTGACTTTTTTATCATGTCAATATATATATATTTTTAAATTCTGGTCTTGCAATGCTCCGACATTTCTCTCATAAATGTGTCACGATATTCTAATAACTTCGTTTCTGAGACGTGCTCATTTTTTTTCCCAGCAGTCTTTCAACTTTATTACTCGAACATGTTTCTTGTAATAGTGTGACTTTCTTCTCACATAAAAACTTAATTCTGGCTACAGTACGACTTTTAATGGTAAAACTTTTTTTCCCTGAAACTGTATGACCTTTTTTTTTTTCTTCGCACTATTCAAAATGTATTCATGTAACATTTTAAACTTTATTCATGAACCTGTTGTACTTTCAGTATCCCTACTTCTTTGTCCTAACATTCTTTTTGTCATATTGTCATTTTCCTCTTGATACTATTAATTTTGTCCCTTTATTTTCACGACATTTTTTTTTTCTGACAATATTACAAATATTCCTACTCTGTAAATTCACAACTTCTTTGCTGAGGTCTTCTCACTTTTGCCCTATTCAGGGTCAGCAATTTGAAAGAGCCTTGTCCAATTTTAAGGCTTGCTACTTTGCAATTTGTCACTCCACACACACACACACACACACACACACACACAGAAGTGGGAATGGTTGTTGGTTCCATGTGTACACTGACATAGAGATGCCATTTGGCCACATGCCATTTTTCACAGGCTCGTGTCAGAATATGACATTTTGTTCGCTTCTGTTTTTCCACTCCTCCTTTCAAAAAGATTCAGTTGGTCCTCTCGTTGTATGTTAAGTACTAAAAACTCAATTCCTTTTATGTCGTGTAGGATTTCATGATGCAGCAGACGATGCTGCGAGTCAAGGATCCGGTTAAATCCTTGGATTTCTACACCAGGATCCTCGGCATGACGTGCGTATTAATTAAATAGGTACTCGTTTGAATGGAGCTCTCTGAGTTCAACAGTGCGCCGCACGCAATTTCTGCCCAGTCTGTTGCAGAGATTCGACTTCCCCTCCATGCGCTTCTCCCTCTTCTTCCTGGGATACGAAGACAAGAACGAGATCCCCGCCGACGTGAAGGAGCGCACTTCCTGGACTTTCTCCCGCAGGGCCACCATCGAATTGACACAGTAAGGGTGACGCTCTGTAAAATTGACTTTTTTTTTTTTTTTGGGGAGAGAGATAGAGAGAGAGCAGCACACGACTTGTGGCACCATCAATCTAACACTCCTTGTGGTTTGAAATAGGGTCCACAGGTCCTTGCAGCTTGAGTAGCTTGGGTTTCCTCCATTTTTGTTTCATGTTGCACCTCTTTTCTAGTAACTGGGGTTCGGAGTCTGATGAAAGCCAGTCATACCACAACGGAAACTCGGATCCACGTGGCTTCGGTAAGTTTGGGCATCATTCAAGCAAGAGCATTTCAAACTACTAACACAATTCATTGTTATGATATTAAGACTTTTTTTTTTTTTTTTTTCCATCCGAAAAAATTCATGGAGCAAATACGCTGTTGCAAAATGAAATTATTAAGTGTATTGGCAGTTTTTTTTTTTTGTTTTTTTTGGTACTGGTGAGGCAAGGTGACGTCGGCAAAATAGTTGCAGCTTGGAAACCACATGCTGCGGTTTTCCAACAGCTAGATAAAGCACAGATTTTTACTCCTATTTTGTCGATGAATGCGTTCGTGCTGTCTATGTCTTCACAGATATGAGTCACTTCTCTAAAGAAACTAAATAAAAAGCAAAACGCACTGATTTGTGTTCACGTTACTCTCGACAGGGCACATCGGCATCGCGGTGCCAGACGTCAACCAGGCCTGCAAGCTGTTCGAAGAGCAAGGCGTCACCTTCGTCAAGAAACCAGACGACGGTGAGATGTTTGAAATTGACTTGAAAACAGTGTTTCCCGCGATCTCCATTGTGCCCGTGTGCATATTTTACTTTTCAAAAATCTCAGGCCACCAAATAAAATGCCACAAAAGTACAAAAACGTATCTGTTGTTGTGTTTTTATTCTTTTTTTTTTTTTTTTTTTTTTTTTAATCTTCCAGGTAAAATGAAAGGACTGGCCTTCATTCAGGACCCCGATGGCTACTGGATCGAGATCCTGAGCCCCAACAATATGATTTCCATCACCTCCTAAAAAACAAAAACAAAAAGGGATGGGAGCGGTTTCATGGAGTTTACGGGAAGCTTTTAGTTGTGGAGCACAGTGTGAGAAAATAATCAAAACGTCAAGCTGGAAGCATGCAAGCCGCTCCAGCATATGATATATAATACATTTAGATTAAATACATACATTTTTGTGTTCTGAAATAACTTAAATTTGTGTGAAATTACAGAATGTAAATTGTGATAAGCTGCTGTTGGGAAGAAATATGAGAGCTGGCGTTCAAATACAAATGAGAACATTTTCCTCTGGTGCTTTTCAAAATAAAATACAGAACCCTCTTGCTTTTGTTTTGTTTTGAAAACATATCCGGATTGAGTGGTTGTTCTCTGTCTGCCCGCCCTGGTTTCGATCATTACTGATTTGCGACCGACGGGGGGGGAAAAAAAAACATGTCTGACGTTCGGTTCGACTCCTCGACGCGCGTTACCAAGGCTTGGGTCGCTCTCAGAAGACTCGATAAAAACGGTTTGTTGTTTCACGTTCGGTATTATACTCAATTCAACAATCGAGAAATTTCCTCGCAGTCGAGTTCCGTGCTCGGTGCCGTCGTCATGGCAACCATTAGCAAGTTCTCATGGTTTGTATTTACCTGTACTCATAATAAACAGTAAATCACGGGCATCGTTGAATGCAAATAGTTTCTTAAAAGTTCTGTTTCGAGTAAGCAGTTAACGAAGAACGTTTTTCTCCATGCTACAAGTCAACAGCTGCATTTGATTGCCAAGTGCTCTTGTCGACCCAACAAGTCCAGTTAAGGGGTTTCCGATGGGAATGCTGTTCCAAAGACGGCACGTTATCCGGATTTGGACTAAATGCATAGTCAGTCTAAATGAAAAAGAATTTTAACTCGTAAAACTGAGCGTGCTTTCTTGTGACACGTGATGAATGCCCATGTTCATGTAGTACTTAGTAGAATTCAAAAGGGTAATGAATGGTGTATCTTGCAGATGACAGAGTCGTGGCGCTGCGTGAGGTGTCAATTCCTCAGGCGGTCGACATGTCCTCCATCGTACAGGTGCCCCCCTGTTGTTTATGCTGTTTGTCACGGCAACGAACGCACACATACTGCAGTCAAGACTAAAGCGTCTTCACCTGTTCTCATCCTCTCCAGATCATCGCCTCCTCCTTCAACCTGGACTCTTCAGATGTTGTATTCAAGGTAGGTTGCACACACGTCATAATGTTTTCTTATTGCTCGATCAATGACTTGGATGTGCGTTCAGATAAGAAACCAGCGTGGATGTCTGATCCCTCTGAACAGTTCCATCCCAGCAAACAGCAAGCACACGTATGTATTTGTTTCATCTTTATGCATGCACTTGGATTCACGTTTGAAAGGGTGGGGGTTGGGGGGGTTATGTCCACACCCAATTCCAATCAATCAAGCAAATTTTATTCATAGAGCAATTTTCACACAAAAAAAGCAGCTCAGAGACATTGATTGGATGGCAGCATCTGATTCTCCAAAACCTGGATGTACTTTCGAGCGTTGATGGTGCCTTCACAGATGTGCACCTTCTTTTCTTCGTTGGCCCCGGAGGACACGACGTCCACAATTTCCCAAAACAATTTGAAATATGGACTCGTCAGACCACAGAAGACCTTTCCACTTTGCATCAGTCCATCTTTGACGAGCTCGGGCCCAGAGAACTTTGTGTGTGGCGTTTGGGTGTAATATGTTGCCCACCCTTGCTATACATGATCAAGACCGATGTTTCTCTTCACAGGCCCTACTTGCTTGAGGTAGCCAAGATCTTTCAGCATGGTAACATCGCATAAGACACAAATCATGAAAATATACTCATGAAAAATATTGAGAGAGAGAGAGAGAGAGAGAGAGAAAAAAAGAGAGAGAGAGAGAGAATTTCTTAAAGGGGCAGTCACCGCACGCAGAATTTGAATATGATCGTGAATCTAGAATGTGCTCAATTTGCATGCCTCCAATGGGAGGGGGGATCAAAAATGAAGGAAAAACTTTCAGAGTTTTATCATAACATTGGTATATGCGCAAATGTTTGGTCACTTATAAGACGTCAGAGTTTCATTACGATGCTACATTTTTATGAAGATTGAGTGATTCTGATGAGGACACCAAAGGCACTTCATCATGATACTGACCCAAAGATGCATTGTATTTATTTATTTTACAATATTATTGTATTCAAGTTTTGTTTTTCTTTTGTTTCTAGTGCATCCCAACCCTAAAAGTATCCCCATGACTGTGATCAACAAGAGTATGAAGACCAGACTGCACTCTGTCGACAAGAGGGTACGCGGCTACCAAAAATCCAGATGTGAAACATTATCTGAAATGTATGGTTGTAATGTCTGTATTCATTTCATTCATCAAGTTAATCTTATGTGTCCAAATTGCCCTTGAGTTTTTTAAGATGTGAAATAGAAAAAATAATACTGCTGATTTATTTTATATATTAATGTTTTAATATACTGTATTATGTGAAATGATTTAAGTATTGGATTGTTGCAGATTCAGAGACTTGAGGAGCTTCTGCCTCAAATCAAATTGAGACGCAGTGAAAAACTGAACCAGGTAAATGAAAACAACCAACACAATATCCTTTGTAGATGATTCTTTTTTTTTTTTTTTTTTTTTTAATCATATGTTCATACTTTCCTTTTTCACTGTGCTCTCAGGAGATTGAATGTCTGAACCAGAAGTTGATGTTTCTTCACAAGAGAATGCAGGTAAGCGAAGACTGATTTCACGAGAGGCGCTTCATTCAGTTAAGTGTCTAAAAAATTTTGCCTGCTCCGTTACAGGTGGTGGACTCACTCACGTGGAAGGGAATGTTAGCCCGAGCGCCTCTGTGGTGAACCATCCACTGACACCTGTCAATCAAGTGGTCACGTCAAACATTAAAGATGGCCCAGCACAGCGCATTTAAGGTCTTTGGACTGGGAAACATTGGCAGTGAAAATTTACCTCTTAAGCCGCTTACTGTACATTTTCTTTTTAAATAAAGATTTTCTAGTTTCATTGTGTTGTGATTCTTTCAAGTCATAAATAAATACCCAGTAAATTAAATAATTGGAATGTAAACTTAAACAATTGCAAGTGAAAAAAATATTACATTCTCAATGTTATTTTGCACTACATTAAAATGAAATATAACTGGAAATATTTAGATAATATGATATAAAGAATGAATTAATACAATATTTCCTTTTATTAATAGGTCAGGAATCATCAGAAATATTGGAATATTTAATTACATAAATATGTATTTTATAAATGTCAAACTTTTAAATGCACTTTAAAACAGACAATATTTTTTTTTGCGCACAGCTGCGGGGGCTCTTTTTGTGTTCTCATATAATCCCCAAATATTGTACTGAACGCGGTCATAACACATCCTAACGCCTGCTTTTGAAACACCAACTCCCATCGTGCCTTGCGGCGCAGTGTCAAACATGGCACCCGTCTCGCGGACAAAAGGCGAATCCGTCTGACGGTGGGCTGAAGCCCAAATACAACCCAGAGAAAACGTTTTTTTCGGGGAAAATTAACATCATACGAGTGCCCAGGCTCCATTGAGGCAATCTATAAGACCGCATGTTACAACTATAATCTATGGAGGACTGTCTACTGGAATAAGCAAGGTAAGTTGCGAGGCGCAGCTGTGTTATGCTTTCATTAGCCCGCTTGATTTCCTTCAATACGTGAGAGGTGCTGGTGGTCGAACCTCGCTTTAAACGGCCGGCGGGCCTGCGATGTTTCGCCAGATGTTTAAATACAATCCCCCAAATTTATACATCTTAGTCTCCCTCGTTGAGGTCAGAGTTCCGCTTTGATTCGGCACGTTTGCAATCCGTCTTGCCGCTGTGATTTGGGCGATTTAGGCATCTTCGTCAGCCACAAAACCGATTTAGACAATTACCGGTGGTTAGTTTTACAGTGTACCAAGCAGGACAAAATCGGCTGTTTTTTTTCAATGGGCTTTGGTGTGGGATGGAAAAGTTCCAAGCACAGCGCGGTGAAACTTGTCAGGCAATTTGAGCCAACTGACGTTGTTTATTTATTGCTTGTTCAAATTTGTTGACACAAATCCGCGGGAGGAGTTTGTTAAAGAATATATTTACATGAATAACAATACACCAACGTTAGCTGTACCTTAAGCTTTGGATGTTGCCGCAGTCTCCAATTAGCTGCAGTGGCTCCCAATGTCCTGTAAAATAGAAGTTCCTTACCTATGTTGCTGTGGTTTATGCTGTTTTCTTTTTCGTTCTGTGTCCAGTAGTTGCTGCAAAACAAACAACCCCAAAACGTGGCTGGATCTGAAAAAGTAGACTATCAAGGAACATTCTATTCTTTTCAATAATTTGTTTCAAAAAGTGAAACGAGTGTTATTTGTTCACCACCCTCAAAGTAAAACATTTCAAGTCTTTATTTGATGACTGGCGCGCACACACACAAACACACACAGACAAATTATATATATAAATATATCACATTTTTTCCTTCTCTACTCACATTAGTTTGCCGCTTGAGTGCCTTTTTCCCTCCTTCCAGACACGAAGAGGAACAACTTTTAATGTAAAGTAAACAGATTATCAGTACTGTATTTACATTATTTTTATTTGTTTTTACAATTTGTGTCCCTTTCACCGTGTTTCCCCTTTTCACTCACATATTTTTAGCATTGTCACAAACTTATCCACCATTTCCTTGACTTTTTTTCCACAAAATCTTTAACAATTTTCAATCATTTCTTAACTTTAATGCCCATTTTCACGAGTCTTTCCATTTTCACTCTTAATAGACCATTATGACAGATTTATCACTATTTTAAATAGATTTTTATCATACTTATAATAATTATGATAATAACAATATAAGGGAGATGAGTCAAATTGGGAACTTTGAAATCAATCATAAAATGGAGGCCAGACACATGTAAAAATACTTTTAAATGGACTTCACTGTTGTCTTGTAGGATGTTCCAGCATTGTGAAGAGCCTCGCTTCACCATCGAACAGATCGACCTCCTACAGAGGCTCAGGAGGACAGGCATCGGCCAGGCTGATCTCCTCCATGCCTTGGACACTTTGGAGCACCTGGATCGTCCCCACAGGCACACCTCAAACCACCAAACCTCTTCCTACGCCCCGCCTTCGTCTTCCACCGTGGCCACTCAGACAGTCTTCTCCGAAAGCCGCCTATCGCCGACTAGCTTTGATGTCACTTTGCCTGTCGCCATGGCAACGGTAGCACAGACCAACGGGAAGGTGTCGCCACTGACCAGATTTCCTCTGGTGGGCGGTGGGGTGGTGGGCTTCGGGTTTGAGGCGGGCGATGACGACGTAGATGTGGATGAGAAAGTGGAAGACTTGATGAGGTAGGAGACACGGGGAATGGATGTGCTGCAGTGAACCATAGCGACTGTTTTTGTGGCTGTTCGGGACCAACAAAAAGTGCGTGTGTGGTTTTAGGAGAGACAGCGGCGTCATGAAGGAGGAGATCAAGTGCTTCCTGGCCAGCAGGCGCATCTCCCAGGCCGTGGTCGCACAGGTGACGGGTGCGTGTCGCCCAAACTCCTCTTCTTCCTTCTTCCTCGAATGGATGTGCTGCAGTGAACCATAGCGACTGTTTTTGTGGCTGTTCGGGACCAACAAAAAGTGCGTGTGTGGTTTTAGGAGAGACAGCGGCGTCATGAAGGAGGAGATCAAGTGCTTCCTGGCCAGCAGGCGCATCTCCCAGGCCGTGGTCGCACAGGTGACGGGTGCGTGTCGCCCAAACTCCTCTTCTTCCTTCTTCCTTCTTCCTCTAACTTGGCAGCTCAACGGTCTCGGTCCTCTTGCAGGAATTAGTCAGAGCCGCATTTCCCACTGGTTGCTGCAGCAAGGATCCGACCTCAGCGAGCAGAAGAAACGAGCCTTCTTCAGATGGTATCAGCTGGAGAAGAGCAGCCCTGGTCAGAGCACACCCGTCCGTCTCTCTTGTCTGTGCTTACCTATCCGTTTGTCTACCTCGGTGTCTTCGTCATTTCTGTCTGTCGAGAGTGCCTTGAAAAAGTCTTGGCCCTCTTCTCACATTCTTCCTCTCTCCATAGATTCCCCACTTTAATTTTTATTCACATCGGTTTCTATCGATCTTTTTGTCCATCGATTGTGCTGTCCGTCTATTCATCTGTCCCCCCCCCACAAAAAAAAAACATGGAATTGACCTCTGGCTCACCGTGCATCCATTTTTTGTGTGTGTATTTGTTGGAGGAAAAAAAAAACTACAATAATGTGAAAATGTGCCCACCCCAATAAGGTGCCACACTGGCCATGCATAACTCCCCACTGACTCTGGAGGACGTGGTGATGGACTGGCAGCAGGCCCCGCCCACATTCACGCCTGCTCCGGGGGGCTTTCGCCTGCGCCGGGGGAACAGATTTACTTGGAGGAAAGAGTGTTTGGCCGTCATGGAGAGGTAACATTTACACAGATTGCTATACTGCTAAGTGACAGGACACCTTTAATGATGATTTGTATTTGTGTGTTTGCGTGCGCGCGCGTACGCTCGTGCAGCTACTTCAGTGACAATCAATATCCTGACGAGGCGAGGAGGGAGGAGATCTCCATGGCCTGCAACGCCGTCATTCAAAAACCAGGTGGGTCCAATCTCTCAGCCGGTGTCCTCCTGCTCCTCGGCATCCAAAAATGACAAGTGAGCACTTGCTGGGTGTGTTGTTCAGGGAAAAAGCTTCTGGACTTTGAGAAGGTGACGTCTCTGAAGGTGTACAACTGGTTCGCCAACCGCCGCAAGGAGATAAAGAGGAG